CGAAAATTATGACTTGTTTGGAAGTGCAAATAGCTCACTTCCTGTCTGCTTCATCTGCCCCTCTCCCTATCTCTCTCTGTCTTTCTCTACCCCTACATTTTCTTGTTATACTCTTTTGCTTGAGGTTATTCGACATTTTTGCCACGAAAGGTGAATGAATATGTTCTGAATCAGCATAAACTGCTGAGTCGAGTCAAGTCGAGCCAAGGTCTTATATGATATATCACTTAAAGAGTTCATATGCCTACTCTATGTAACTAAATTACGAAATGTTTGTTAGGGATTGGAATGGGATGGACTTAAGATAGACTTGTGAAACTATTTAAAGTCCCGTTGATCTTTGCAATTGTCAATATATTTTGATATATGGAATCTTATCTTATTACATCAAGTATAATCATCAGCTTTATTTACCCTTTACAAAAATGGACTTGCCTAATCTAGATATATTACAAAGATCAAGGCTCTGGAGTGTCTTCTCCATTCTACAGACATTTTGGTTTTTTTCAGGGTTAGGGTATTTGCACTTCGGCTATCAGCTGGTTAGCATATCCTTCTTCTTTTCACTCTGATTGTTCTGATTGTTGTTGTTGCTGCTGCTGCTGTTGTCGCCGTCACGGCCCGCCGATGGTCGCTGATAAGAGGCAGCCATAGCGTTCCCCATTTTAAGCACTCCCACTCCTTGCCCTTGCCACGTACTGCTCCCCTCCACTCCAGCAGCTGCGATATCCTCGGCGCGATAACGCCATCCGCTACGTGCTACCGAGTTAGCTTTCTTGTTTGCTCTCCTTTCGACCCCTGTTCGCAGCGATCTCAAGGTTGGCTGTACCTCTTCCAATTTTTCATCATCTTCATCATCTTTGATTCTCCCTAATTCCTCTTCGCATCTTCGGCATGTGGGCGTGTCAGCGTTGTAGTTCACAATAAATGCTATCACATTACGCATCGCATATGGGCTTGTAATGCGCTTCCGTTTTCCACGCCGTAATTGCCAGCCAGCTGGAAGGGGGCGTGGCAATCAGCTAGCAATGCAAAGGCGCCGCCGACGCTTAGCGAACGCCGTTTTTTCGGCTCATTTGCGGCCGCTACTTAAAGGTCGTCTAAGACACGGATTTGTATACCCCGCGAACCCAGCGTGATTGGATGAATTGGGTAGATTAGCTCGATATGAAAAGATTATCGAATGCAGGAACACATACTTGAACAAGATATTCAATGTGAATCTGATGATCTAATAAAGAACTTCAATAAAAATTTAACCTAGAAGACGATCTATGCAGTTAAGATCTACTATAGTAAAATTCGGGGAAGTCTTAAAGAAGTTTTGTCACTTTGGAGTTAAGGTAGTTTGAATTTTCCACAACAGCAGCTTTAGGGTATCTGCTAGCTGGGCACGCCCGACTAGGGCATTCGTACTCTGGAGTTTTCTTTTATTTTGGGCACAAAACCCGCAATTATACTTCCGCTATGAGGCACTAAAAAAAAAAAAACAACGAAAAAAAAAAAAAAAAAAAGGGCCGAAGATGAAGTTGAAAACCAAGTCGCTTCATTCATCTCTCGGAGATCTGGAACGGAGGCTGAATCCAAGATTGTTTTGTTGTTTTCATTCAGTGATCGGGCGCGCATTCATTCATTCGTTCATTCAATTCGTGTTGATTGCCACCTTTGGGCCTTTTGGGGCCGCCTCTGCCACATGCCTCACGGCAGCCGCATTTAATGTTGTCCCCATCTCGCTCTCGCTCTCTTTCGCACTCGCTCTCTCCCTCTCGCTGTCTACTGTGCTAATGAACAGACGGCAAGAGCTACCTAGTGCAAAAAAAAAACAAAGCAGCTAAAAGCCAGAGTTTGCTAATTGCAGCTGCTCGATCGCCATATACCCTGTAAATAACTATGAAGTGGAAATCTCCTCTAATTAACACTTTGTATGTCTGTTTAACTTTATATGCTTACACTTTTTTCTCAGACTCATTTTAAATTAAAGGTAAAGGCAACAAATTGCTCAAGCATGATTGATAGATAGATAGATACTCTTTAGATACTCTGTAAAGAGTTGGATTGAATATTTTCCAAAATTGTAAAGTATTTTATCTGTTCAGATTTGTATAAATTCTTCAAGACTTTTAAGTTAAAGATAACAGCAAGAATTTGCTCAAGCATGATTGATAGATATTTAGATTTGTAAAAATTACTTAAGCAAGATGGCTGAGTACCCTGCACTATCCAGCTAGATACCCTGTAAGGACCAACTAATATCACAATAAATTATGCCTCCTTAGCTACATACATCTATATTTAAGACTCCTTTAAGTCTGTTTTAGAGATAAGAAATGGATATTTTTATATCATAATACGCACGACTATATAATGCCTTCTTCTATTATTCATTCGCAGAATACAGGGTATAAATTTTGAGTTTAAAAAGAGGAGATAAAAAACGCCAACAGCTTCACGAAACGCGGCAAACAAACAGAAATCAAATCCAATTTATGTTTTTTATTTCTCTTTCTGTAGTTTTTGTATTTTTTTATTTTGTTTTTTATTTGAGCCACATTAATCATAATTTTGGGGCTCCAATCGGCAAGCGTGAAATAATTTTTATGCGCCGTTTTTATGGAACGAACCCGAAATCTGAAATCCCAGAAAGGTGTCAATCGCTAATTTGACGGCCGCTGCGAGTTGATGAGAAGCGCAGAGAACGGAATGCATAAAGCAGAAAAGAGGTGGAAGAAAATAGAATTGCATTGTGCTTTTGCAATTAGCAATGCGTCAAATGATTGGAATCATGAAATTATTCATATGTATGTACATGTGTATGTATATCAGGCCAAGCCAGTGGAACACTTTGGGAAGCGGAACAGAGCACCACATCGAAGCCAGAGTCGATGTGAAAGACAATGGATAAACGGACAGACTAATTGACTGGCCGACTGACTGACTGAAACTCTGAAGATCTTTGGGAAAATCTATTTAACAGGTGCTTCACACACCGTATCCAAAGGTGGGCTAAAGGTCGTACGAGTGAGTGAAAGCTCAAGTTTCGACTCTACTAATAACAGTTAATACCTCTCTGAGATGCTTGAAAGTAATCCCTAGACTGGGGCCAACTCAAGCTGCTGCCCACGCTGATTGTCCAAGTTTATTGTGATGCAAGTATCATCGGGGCGCAAAATATCGTGAATCACATTGGGAATTGTTATACAATAATGAAAGATCAGCTCAATTTTGTATGATGATATGAGGAGTGCACAGATTCCCAGAGACTGGCGAGAATGCGATGAAAAAGGTCTTTATGGGCATATTTCTCAACTCGGTAGCTGACAGGTCCGTCGAAAGGGGCAACTGAGGGAGGGAGAGACTGAGAATGAGACTCGAGCCGAGTTGAGCAGAGCAGAGCAGAGCAGACAAAGATGACGGTGCAATTGTAGGGGCTGAATGACAACGGTGCATGCAGGCCAAAAGGGAATACACAAAGGGCCAAGAGAGCGAGAGGAAGAGGAAGAGCAGCTGGCTGAAGCTGGAACCTGTTGCAGTTTCGTTTAGCCACTTGAAAAGCAATTTCTGAAATTTATTTTCCATTTATTGCTTTATTTATTTTATACCTTTTCAGTGTGGCCCATTCTACAAATATCAGACACAACTCTTCTCTGTCTACGCGCGTGTGTGTGTGTGTGTAGCTGCTTATGCGATTAGAGCAGAGCAGAGCAGAGCTCATCTGCCTGCTGGGCCGGGCTGGGCTGCTGCAGCCTGTGTTTATTTGTTTTGGGCCCAGAACAATTCTTGAATTCTCGGCCAAAGCGGAGCAGCTCTTGGGCCGCTCTCAATGGGCGCGGACAACAATCGAAAGTAATAATGAAATCTCATAAACAACAACAGCAACAACAAGCAGCAGCGCTTAACAATGTGTGCGAGCGAGAGAGCACAACTGTCTTCGCCCTTTTGCAGTCGCGGTCGCCGTCGCCGTCTCTGCCGCAGTCGCTGTTGCCGATGACGTTGACGTTGACGACACTTGCCTTGATTTTTATTATGTTGGGCTTTTCCACACACACGCACGCACATGCACACACAGACACACACACATGTACATGTGCATTTCTGCATTGTTGTTGATTGTTGTTGCATTGCCTTTTGATTTATTGTTAGCAGGAATGAGAGAATGGGCCCAGGCACAGGCAAAGAGCAAACGGCACTGCAATAAGAACAGCAACAACAACAACAACAAAGACGACAACAACGACGACGTCGACTGCACAGCAGGCACCGCTGCCCTCACTTGTTCATTCTGCCGTTCTCTCTCTCTCTCTCTCTCACTCTGCTTCTCTTGTTGTTTTAGTGCTTGCATTCCGCACTCAGCATTTTTACCTTTTGCCAAGAATTGTGCGTGCTTGTGTGTGTGTGAGCATGTGTGTGTGTGTGTTCGTTTCTATTCTTGTGCGGGCAGCAGCGTCGCGACGCGTCGACGCAGTTGTAGACAGTTCATTAATGTTATCAACAGCATGGGGCATGGGACATGGGATCTGGGATCTGGAACCTGGGGACGGGGGCGGCTGCGGCGGCTGATCGCTCATTTCTTTGCATTTTGGCCGCATCGTTGTAGGTAAAAGCAGCAACAACAACAACAGCAGTGCGCAGTGACTGCGCTGCTACGCAGTTGCGTCGCAGCTCCTGCCTGGGTTTGTGTACGCACATCAATTTCGAGCTGCGTAGCACTTGCTGTTGCTGTTGCTGAAATGGGCCAAAGTCGAACTGAGAAAACAACAAAAACTGGTGGCAACTATTGGCCAAAAAAGGACACAGCGACATGCGTCGCCGACTTGGCCCGTACAAATTGTCAGCTCGAATGGAACGGGCCAGTCGCATTTTATGGACAACTTGTTGACCAGCTGAACTACTTTCCAGTCGGGCAATTGCCGTTAGCTATCGCTCGGGGCTGATCAACAAAAAAAAAAAAAAAAAAAAAAAAAAAAAAAAGAATAGCGAAAAGAAAAACAAACTCAACTCACCTGTATCAATCCGTGCAGGATTCCAAAATCAAGGCGATGCTAGCCGTTTCCTTCCTTGACTCGATTCACTCAATTGTCATTGCTCTCAATTCTGAAGAGAGACTTTCCGCTCTGCTCTCTTTTGCACTAGCAACCTACATACATACAAACATACATTGTGGATATACATAGATGAGAGTCCATTAGAAATCGAAACGAACGATTCGCATTAGCGGAAACTTCTTTTACGCTGCCTCCCCTGCTGCTCACCTCTCTGCTCAACCCCTCTCTACTTGCTGCCTTGCTCACATCCGTTGGACCACAAGCGGCACAACGGCACATTTCCGAAATTCTACTCAATCTCTATAAATATATATCTCTATCTCGCTCGATCTCAAATAAATTTTGGCATTCGAAGCGGCAAAGAGGAAGCAGCGTCAAATTTGTGTCCCCCCTCAGGCGAAAGGCAAAACCGCAAGAATTGCTATTTAACGGTTATTCGTATGAATGAGCGTAGCATGTGTGTGAGAACATACAAGTGTGTGTATGTAGTTTATATACAAATATGTATGTAAATGTGTTAGAAAGTTCCTACATTCATTATATGCACGTATGTATGCATATGTACATACATCGATCATTTACATACATACATCATTTAGTAGACTTCAATTAGAAAGTAATTTTCATCCTAGCCATGTCATTATTTCAATATGCATTTAATACTTATGAAAATGCATAAATACACATGTACATACATACATACGTACATCAATACATCGCACACACACATGCACACTTACACACACACATACACACATACATAGAGACAAGTATTTATGTCATTTTGTCGTTTGCCTTTTGCAGCTGTTTGCCGGTCGCCGCAACGTTTTAAAAATAAAAACAAAAATAAATATAAATATAAATACAAGTCGAAAGGAACAACAAAAAATATACATATATAAAGATAGAATCAAAGAAGAAGAAAACACTAACAATGCAAACGGCTCAACCACTTCGCACGCACTTATGCTTCTGCTTCTTCTGATCTGCGTTGATTTCGGTTATTTTGTTTTGTTTTCTTTTTATTTGGCGAACTGCATTTGCTGCCAATTAACGCGCACATTAACAGGTAGGCGCAATCCTCACTAGCCAGATGATCATTAACATCTGTGGCTGCAGCTCATTGATAACAATTTCGCACAGTTCCCGGGCTGCGATCACACACACAGTACAATAATAACAACAACAAAAAAATGAAACAGAAAAAAACACGTCAAAAGCAATTTGGGAGAAGGCGAACGATTTAAGATGCGCGCAGAGCACACACAACCTGTCAGCGTCGCGTCACGTAAGTAACTGAACGAAATTGTCTTCGCCGCACACACATAGACGGCAGCGACAGCGAGACCGGCCGACGCGGCATGCTTCGGCACTGCTTCGGCCCCTTCGCACACGAAGACGAAGCGTCGCGGCTTTCGAGAGCAAGAACAGCGCAGCGCCATAAAGCTGCTGACTGAATCCAGCCGAACATGCGCAGCGCGCTATCGTGTGTGTGTGAAGGAAGAAATCAATGCGCTGCAGGCGCGCAGGCACAGCCAACCACCCAGACCACCCATCCACCTATCGACTCCCCCCGCTTTCACGACCAAAAAATGAAACACGTGCCAAAAGATTTTTTTTTTTTTAATTTTTTTTATTTGGTTTTTGTTGTTATCCACTTAACAATTTCGATCGTATTATACATTTATGTTGAGAATAATTTTAAATTTTTTTTGTTTTTGTTTTTTTGTTGTTGTTGTTGTTTACTTTTATTCTTGTTTCAATTAACTGTAATATAAGTATATTTAGTTTTAAGTTTATAAACTTTGTGCATATGCTTGTTTCTTTGTGTGTGTTGGTGTGTGTGTCTCTCTGTATCTGTGTGTTATATGCAATTACTGTGAATTGCCAAGCTGCACAACATTTTACACTGGGCGAAACGAAATCATTTGAATCGACAAAAGAATTAAAAAAAAAAGAATTATAAAATGCTTAGTTATATGTAGTTTGTTCTTCTTCATCTTCTTCTTCTTCTTCTTGTTGGCTAGTATGCGTTATTGTGTGTTGGAGTTAGTTGGGCCTTAAATGTCTATATATATATATTTGTTTATATATGTATTGTAGGGTATATGAATCCATTAAAACATTATTGTTTCGTTTCGAGTTTTCACTTCTTATGGCCGTTGTACGTTTAAAGTTTAGTTGGTTTGGTTTTGCCTCCTCTATTGTTATCAATATTATCATTATAATTATTATTATTTTTATCATCATCGATTGCCATCTTTTAAGATTAACCAAAATAAATGTAGTAGTAGAAGCAATTGCAACATTCGTTTTTTTTTTGCTCGACACAACATTTTTTTTTTTTAACTTTTGATCTATATATATTTATATATGTGTAGATATAAAAAAAAAGAGTTTATTTAAAAAAACCTAACTTTTGTGGAGTTTACGTTGTTGTTGTTGCTGTTGTGCTTGGTATATTGCCTCAAACGACAGGTGGTTCGGTGCCACCCAGGGCCTCATCGTTACTGTAGTTCACCGAAAATAAAAATAAAAACGAAATTAAGAATTAATAAAAATTAAGAAATAAAGCAAAGTAAAATATATAGAAATAAATTATAAATAAAGACTGTACACAAAATGTTTTTAAGAATATCAAACATATTTAAATACAAGTAAGAACATTGCACTCAGGCATTATGGTTTGTAGAATACTCATTCACGGTTCGAATATTTCAAATATTTATAATTTCTAGCTTAAGTAGAGGCGATACGGTCTATAATCATACGGACAGCAAAACGGACATTTGACAAAACCAATATACTCATTTCACTTTAGTGAATGAGTATAAATATATAATTTAACCAAGAATAATTAATAAAATGAAAATAAAAACGAATTTGTCTAAATTGGATATGTAAAATAAAGCCATTAATTCTAATTATTATTCTTAATTATAATTGTATTGCTTAATATTTAGTTTCTCAATCTATATATAAAGCAGGAAAACATTTACTATCCCCTGTTTAATAAGCTTTCAACTCATTTGCGGCCTAATTGAGTTTGGGAGCTTTCAAGGTAAACTTAATTGAGTCTCAAGCTTTTACGAAGCTGTTGGCGAGCTTTAATGCGCTTTCAAAGCTCTCCTTAGTTAGTTTTCGCTAAACTTTCGAAACTTAAGTATATGTATATTAGACATTCATCAATCAATATATATTGTAGTATATGCATATCATTTTATATCAATATATTTTAGTTGTACTCTTGCATAGGCATGAAAATTTTCACTAATAACAGATAACGCAAATCAAGTGCTCAAAATAATTGAATTAGAAATTCTTCTGCAATTTCAGACTTTGTCTCAACGCATCGAGTTAAGAACTCACAAGTGCCAGCATTTCAATCATACATATATGTATTTCTATATATCCAGTATGTATATCATATATGTATATAATTGATATATATGTATATATATAAAGTATTTATATTGTATATATTAATTGAATTTACTATGTTTCCTTTTTGCTATATTAGCTATACGTTCCACATTGAATATATATGTATGTATGACTATCCCTTATCTATAGTATATTACTATAGTTTCTTAAAAGCTATAAAAAAAAAATTATTAACGACTCCTGTTTTAACAATATATCGGTGCTAACTACGAAACAAGTAAGAAGGCTCCAGTCGAGACTGCTCGACTAGGAGATACCCTGAACCCTTCAAACTGATATTCTAATCATTCTAGACTTCTTTTATGCACACATGCATACACATGCACGTATAAGCACGCGCTCTGCAAACTGCGCAGCTAGCAGCGGCTGCGCTTGGGCTGCACTGCAGTGTGGGCAATATTATGAGAATTTATTTGTTGAATAATTTCTTTTGTAGACATACGATCATAGAGCGTAATCATATGGCTAAAATGTGTGTACATTCCAAAGCACAAGTCTCTAGTACTTGAAATGCGTTTTTTACAAATTTGGGGGGCGAAGGGGGCGTGGTATCCAAAATCTGTATATTACAAAATCTTTGTATCTATAAACTTTATATACAACGCAAATTTGAAGTCTCCATGTCTAAAAGTGTTCAAATTAGGCTGAAAAAACAGTCGATTTTTCTATTATTCTCGATAAAAAAGTAATCGGATGAGTTATCGTATGGTATACACGAGAATGCATGCCATATTTTAGCTCTCTAGTTCTTACATCTTCTGAGATCCTATTGCTCATACGGACGGACGGACGGACGGACAGACGGACAGGGCTATATCGACTCAGCTCGTCGTCGTGATCAAAAATATATATACTTTGTGGGGTCTGCGATGATTCCTTCTGCCTGATACATACTTTTCACAAAACCATTATACCCTGATTTCCCATTTTCAATGGGTTCAGGGTATAAAAAGAACATTATATGTATATATATATTTACTATATATGCTCGACCCCTTTAGGATCGTGTAGTAAACAGTTATTTCAAATATTTCTCTATGCTTTAGCTATATATACTTTGTATATTTATTTATATAACATGATATTTTGCAATGATATGGCACGATAATTGTATTTTTTGTTTTTGTTTTCGATTTTCATTTTGATAGATTTCCATGCGTCCAACAGATGGCGCCACTGTGCGGGGCGCTTAGCTGGGCGCAGGCAACAGCCAGATGAGACTGCTTATGAGTAGGGTTAATGGTGTCACTGCCACGCCCACCGCCCTAACGCTCGTATCGTAGGCATAGCCATTCACGTTCTGTGGTAGCTGGTTGAGATTGGGTCGCGGATAGATGATGTGCACTGGCGGTGGTTGATCGATCTTATCGAAGAAATTTGGATCATACCTCTTATCGCTCGGATCGTAGTCGTGATAGATGAGACTGGATGGATTCCAGTATTCCCTAAACTCCGCCAGAGCCGCAAGCAGTGTGCAGAATTGAGAGATAAGTTACAAGACAAAGAAAAACAAAGATGGAAACGCCAAAATCTTCAGCCCAAGTTTAGCCTAGATCTATAAGAAAACTGCAATTTTCGATGTTTCATATGGCTATACGGATTCTATACCAGACTTAAACTCAAGCGTTCTTTGATCCCAGAAGATGACAATGATAATTTAGTGTAGTCCAATTGAATCTTAATCTGAGCACCAAAAAGAGAAATTTAAAATGTCCTACTTTCTAAGGAAATCCTTTCTTCCCATATAGAACGATACCAAGCTATTTGCGTGTCCTACTGTAACCTGTTCGACTATTGTCTATAGTCTATAGACCGAAAGCTAACTGATCTAACAAGAACTTTCAGGCACTTACACAGGACAGGTATCCACGTTGACGCCACTGACAGAGGCCTTGCCCAGATTGACCTGGCCAACGGCATCGCCCTCCACAAAGACAATGCAGCCGTTGAAGTTGTGCGTATAGCGTTTGCCCGTGAAACGTGAAATGTTCGGAATGCCACCTGAAATTGAGAGATGGGCAAATGAACGTGAGGACCCATGCATTGGGTATTTGGTCTGTGACACTTACCAATGAACACATTGCCCGGCAGATGCATCTCCTTTTTGCTGGTGGGTCGCGTCTCGCCGGAGTCGGATATGCGATCGACCTCGAGTATGGCAGTGTTGTCCGCACGCTTCACAAGCACTATATGGCGCTGGCCATCGTCCACGGGCGTGTCGCCATTGCGTATGACCACCTCTTCGCCGTCCAGGCGCAGAGCGTACTCCACAAAGCCATCGACGACGGCGAGGGCTATGAAGTCCTGGCCGGTGAATTCCTCTCCAGATTTCTGGCCCCACCAGAGCAGCAGGCCGTTGGGCTTGCTGGTGGAGAACACCACCACTGCCGAGGTGTACTGTTGGTCTATCTCCGAGCTAAACTGGCTGCGATCCACCTCCAGGTACCCATTGCCGCGGAACGAGGCATTGAAGCTCACTTGGATGTCTGCACGGAATAGAAACCAGTTCAATTAGATCGAGATCGCGAGGAGCTCAAAACAGTCTCCAATTCATCTTCACTTACGCTCCTCGCAGTGCTTGCCGCTGTAGCCCAGGCTGCAGGCGCAGATCGCCTGCTGCTCCACCTCCTGGCAGGTGCCGCCGTTCTCGCAGGGCTCGTTGGCACAGGGCGACATCGCATAGGGCTGCTGCTCCTCCGCGACGCGACTGTTGCTTGTCGGAGCCACAGGCACCGCGGGTAGCTCGCCATCGAAGTCGTTGCTCCCGATCTCATTGAGCTCGCCGCAATTCTGCAGGTTGGCCGCATCCTTGATGGCAGCCAGCAATTGGATGGGACGCATCGAGTCGTAGAGGTGCGAAATGCAGCCATCGAAGCCTTCGGTGATGTTCACATCCCGATTGATCTTGACCGTGGCCCGATCATAGCCGCCCACATACAGCGGCGTCTTCAGCGAGAGGGTGCGTGGTGCACCGGCCGCCTTGGCCCTCTGCTCCGGCTCATCGCCCACACGCAGAATGCTCTCGCCCTGGCGACGCAGCAGCTCGACTCGTGTCCATCTGTGCAGTGGCAGCGGTTTCTGGGAGCGCACCACGACAGGCTTAAGGCGCGCAGCCGTATTGATGATCAGCTCCACATGACCGTCGCGCAGCACGAGCGCCACGTAATCGCCGCTGGGCAGCTTCGACTCGGCCGTGTACAGCAGCACCGCATCCCGCAAGCTGGATGGACGCAGCGATAGAGTCACATTTATGCGCGATACACGAGGTGTACTGTAAAGTCAGGGAAAGACATTTCAATCACAATTGGCTAACTCAGTTAAGGCAGAGAGTTTCTGTCTGGTTGGGTAGAGCTAGGAAAGTATTGGGTGTTTGGGTATTGTAAATACCAATATACTGTCTATGTTTGGGGATCGAACTTTATGATGTTGAGTAATGTTGAGGAGTCTAGGAAACTAGGAGAACCCGCAGCTCTCCCAGCTCTATGACAAAGTTTCGACAGAGAAATTTAATCAACCCGAGTGTAGAAATTTTGAGCTTGAGTTAGGAAAGTCGAAGGGTTTATTAGATCAGTTGGTCTCAATATTACGACTAGGCTAATTTCTGGACAATGTGAGACGGTGCTCAACAGATCGAATCTCATACAAATGCTTCTGTCGAATCAACAGACTTACATACATAGGTCTATCTAGCTGAGATCTTGTGATCCCTGTTATTTTCGTTCCACATTTTAAGCTCTCGTTAGATTGAGACTATATAATTTTCTGTGCCTTAGGCCTTTATTATGTGGAATGTACAGCGACGCTACTTTATATTAGTTAGGACAGAAGAATTCACTTGAGGCTTCGGACCTAACTTAAACTTAAATGCCAGAACCTTTTCTATCTTGGCAGCTGTTGTAAGTCTATGTTTAGGCTCTGAGGATTGAGCTGGATTGGGTACGACTAGGCTGAGTTGTTTTACTCACTTGTAGGCTGCATAGCTGTTTCGCTTGAAGTTGAGACTGTGTTCGTTTAGGTGTTCCATGTACTGACAGCGATCGCCGGTGCGATTGAGTGGGCAGAGGCATTCCATGTCCAGCTCGGTGTTTTCACAACGTCCGGCACCGCACAGGCCCGGAGTGCATTGGGTACCTTCGACGGCGCAGTTGCGGCCGGTCCAGCCCTGCTGGCAGACACAGGTGTAGGCGAGTTCCGTTTGGCTTTCCAGGCAGATGCCGCCGTTGGCGCAGGGCGATGCGGCGCAAGGCTTGCAGCTGGTGATGCCCTCCTTCAGCTTGGCGTCCTTCATGAGCTCAATGGTGCGTCCCTGGAGCGTTAGGCGGCTAATGCAGCCAACGAAGCCCGTTTGGTGTGCCACCGCCTCGGCGGGCAGCTGATTCCAGTTGGGCACGCCGCCAATATACAGATCCTCGATGAGCTCCAGCTGTGGTATTTGGGTGAGTGTGGGGAAGGCGACCGGATGCTGTTCGTCCAGCTGAATGTAGCCGTCGCGACGTGCGCGGTGCACACGTGCCGTATGCCATTCGTTCAGCTCCACGGGCTGCTCGGCGCGCACCACCATCGGCTTGCCGCCAAAGTCGAAACGGAACTCCACATAACGGTCCTTCAGCGAGAGCGCAATGTAATCGCCCGCTCCACGCGTTTGGCCATTGAAGAGGATCACGCCGTTGGCGGATTCCGGCCGGAAGGTGATCTCAAAGTTGAAGTTGAACGAGGAGTCTGGCAGAGTGGGGAAACTCATGTAGCTCAGTGGCTGCTGACTAAATTGTGGGATGACTCCCGTGATGACCAAAATGCTCGGATAGTCCACGGACTCGCCATCGTTATAGACGGCTGTGCAGATGTAGCTGCCTGCATCGTTCGCCTGCACGCCCCGCAGCGACAGTTCACTCTGCAAGAGAACAGTTCGTTAGACCCTGATGCTCAGATCCCTCTCTCAGTTCGGAGGGGTCTGGCCTCTCTACTTACGCTGAGCAGATCGCGTCCAGATTGCATTTGTCCGTATTGGCGTGACCAGCGGTAAGTGGGCTGACGACTTTCATCGGCGCCGCAGCTCAGCTGGGCTTGATCACCGACATTGGCATGCACGATCTTCGGACGACGCAGCTCATGGGGCTGCTCCTCGATGGCCAGCTCATAGCTGGTCGTATAGAGATCACCATCATCCGTACGGCATTTGCACACATAGTTGCCCGCATCCGCAGCTGTCACTTGATTGATGACCAGACGGTTGCCCACTTGCTGCGGTAGAGTAAACCATAGAGAGAGAAGGAGAGAGAGAGAGAGAGAGAGCGAGAGAGAAATGAATTGGAATGTTGGATCTATGTTGGTTTAGTCACTCACCTGAATATTGGCGGAGAGCGGCACACCATCGGAACGTTCCCAGATCACATCCGTGTAGCTGTTGTCCGAGGAATAGCACTCAACTTCGGTCGATTCGCCAACGTGCAATTTCGATGATTGCTGATCCAGCTTCAGGCTGTAGTCACGTGGCACCACTGGCTCTGGTGGGGGCGTTGGCCGCGAGGGCGGCAGGTAGGCGCTCGGTTGGGTCATGCCCGCTGCAGAGCAAAGCCAGACCACAACCACAGTCACAGCCACAGCCAGAGGAGGCGGCGGCACAATACACAGTAGACACAACAGAAGACGAAGACGAAGCGGTACGAGGATGAAGACGACGACAACGACGAAGACGACGAGAACGACGAGTCGAGGATGTTTCGGCGGTTGTAACGTTCACAATTGGGCGACAATTCACAATTGGGTTATGGGATGATTAAGTGCATGTGTGTGTGTGTGTGTTTTGTGTTTGTGTATGTGTGTGTGTGAACGGCGAGTGTATGTGTGTGTGTATGTGTGTGTACGTGTATGTTTGTGTGAGATGAGGCATTGAGATGGGAAGGTAAGATAGTAAAAAATACACAGAGAGAAAAAAGCAGTTAGCAAAAAACATGTCAAAAATGGCGATTTATACAGATACATGATGCGATATATGTTTATTGAACGCTAACAACGACAGATCTATCGATAGTTCAGATCGTATGTATGTGTGTCAGTGTGAGCATGTGTGCGACTGCGTATCTTTTGAATACGCACTCACATCTTTAGATGCTCTTGTAGAATTGAACGGATTAGAGTACAGACAGACAGACACATCCTAAGAAGCTGAAGAATTGAGTAGGAATGGCTAGATGAACATATTCAGATTAAGACAGATTTTCGGATTCATATATAGTAGAATCCCGATAGTTCGAAATGGCAAGGGGATAAGTATTTTTCCGATTTACATAGAAATTTAAATTATCGAGAATTATTGAGAACGAATTTCTATTAAGGAGATAGAATTTTTATTATCGATTTATCCCGAGGTATATATTTTGATAGGTCCAAGTAAATTGAAATATCTTCAGGTCTATCTCCTTCTTATACACATATAAAACATAAAGTAGATAAATGTCTTTAGAGAAGAACTTGAACATATTCAGACAATAGTCTACAAAGACTTTAGAAGGAATTTCTCTCGCAGACTATGAGGTATATCCCAGATAAGAGATGTTCCATGTTTTGCGATAAGATAGATATGTCGCAAACCTTTACTTTCTACAAGAGCATATTAAGGCTTTGGCATGCCAAAGTCGCATAAACTTTATTGTTTTTGTTTAGTCAGACTTTATGATTTTTATATATATATATATTTTTTTTTTCTAGTTAGACAAATAAATACATAGATGTAGTATTTTTTTTTGTTTTTTTTGTTTGGGGCGGATAGAGAGTAAGAATAGTGATGAGAATTTTTGTTTTGTTTTTGAAACAAATTAATAAATTATACAATAAAAAATAATAGTATTTAGAAATATATAGAAATGATAACACTAGAACACACAGCTACATAAAGTACTAAAAATGTCTACTGGTTCGAATCACACAGATATACGAGTACATGTGTATGTGTAATGGGGGGAGTTATGGAGTTTTCGGTATTGTTTTGGTATATTTTTTTTCGTTCAGCTTATTATATAACAAGTGAGAGATATAGAGATATATAGTATATATGGGGTTACCACTAGGCCAATACGTATTCAGATACATATACTTAGCTACATACACACATATGTCTAGGCTACCAATACAATATGGGTTCTACTCAATAGTCAGTTACACATTTAGTTATAGATTATGAAGTATTTTGTTTCTTAGTTTTTGTGGCAATTTTTGTTGATCGATCGAAAGAAATATTTAGTTTTATATATTTGTTTCGAAATTTATTTGGCTAGTCAGGTATGTGTGTGTGTGTGCGAGTTTGTGTTTATGTGTGTGAGTGTGTGTTACATTTTATTTACAAAATTTTGTTCGATATATTTATCGATATTTGCACAGTATTTCGATACAGTTTTTGTTAGTTGGAGTTACCCGCATGCAAACGAGCCCGAGACCAAGAGGAACAAATACAAATGCTTCGATTTTTCGACATGCGCGCGTCAGCACCATTTTTCGTTATCGTTTTGTTGTTGTTGTTTTGTTGTAATCGTTATCGATAACACTACCGTTACAACTTACGCACTAAGAACCTGCACATGGTAAAGAAATAAAAGCAGGTCTACCCACACACACTACGCCTAATTGCTGTTGTTGTTGTTGTTTTTGCAGATGTTGTTGTTGTTGCTGTTGTTGCCGATGTTGTTGCAATTGCTTTAGCTAAATTTATATTGTTGTTGTTTGCATATATGTTTATATATATAAATTTAGATTCTTAGTTTTGATACGTGAGTTGAGTGCGACTTTGCAATTGTTGCAGATTTTCTCGTTGTGCGCCTACGGAACGTAGTTAGAGGAGCCAAAAAACAGTTGGATAGATAGATTGCCAGTTATATAGATAGAGGACAGCTGGATGACATGAAAGACAGGATCTGATGTGATGGAATGAGCAATCAAATTTTCCAATCTACAGTTTGTGTCGATTCGACAGCAACATGAGATCAGAAGACTTCGAGTCAAGATGGGAAATAAAGGAAAATTAGAGTTCAACAGTTATGGACAGAGAAAGAGGGAGGCAGGTAGGTACAGAGAGGAAGACAGAGTAAGAGTGTGGAGAGAGGCTAGTGAGTGGAAGAAAAGAAACAAGAAATTATGAAAAACTTAAGACGAACCGAAGAAGCCTTTGGCCTTTGGCTGCCCAACTCGTTGCTGTTTATCTGCCTGCTGCTGCCAGGGCTGATGCTTCCTCCAGCTCTTCTTCCAGCGCTTGAAAGTGTTGCCCGGTCCATGGCTAACGCCTACGCCCAGGCCCACGCCAGTTGTGGGCCGGCCAATTGTCTTGGCAGCCAGATCGCGGCTACAGTTGAACTCGTCCGAATGATCCGTACAGTCGTAGATGCCGTCGCAGACCATGCTCGCCTTGATGCACGTGTGTGGGTGGGAGACGCACTTGAAGTCTGTCGCTTGGCAGGCGTATGTGCTGGGGGGTGGGGCACGCGGGGGCGTGGCCAGCGGTTTGGATGGCGTCATTTTGTTTAGTTTGAAATCTAATTTTGCGCGTTTATTCGTTTTTCATGTGGTATTGTTGCAGTATTTTTGTAGTATTTTTACAGTATTTTTAATGATTTTTTGTTTTTGTTTTTGAAAAGCATAAAAGAATAGATTAGCAAAAAATATAGACGATTTAGTCGTCGAACCACGGTTAGTATATAGTTGCCATTTTCAAGTTGCTGCTACAGACAATATTATGCATACGACCCGTATTCCAACAAAATGTATTTTTGATTATTCCAAGTAGTATATGTTGCGTATATCTATATATACACACATATATATAGAGAGTTCGATCTATACATAGTTGATTTACTGTGATTTAGTGTATTTTGCTTACGTGCGTTTGCCAGTTGCATTAAATACCAACAAAATACTAGCACTAAATACTAAACGGTGCCTTGTCCTCAATTCTGTGCGCGTGTGTGTGCGTGGGGGAATGATTGTGTAATTTTAGTGGGCGGAAAACAAAGAGGTTTTTCTGTTCTTTTTCTGTTTCTTTTTTTATGATTTTGGTTTTTAGTTTAGTTGATTCGTAGATCGCAACTCATTTATGGTATATACAAATTTGGAAATTATTTTTTAGTATTAAAAAAAACAACTCGAAATAAGAATAAAAAGAAAATAATACAAATTATACAAAAATATATACTACTAAATAAAAACAAAAAAAATACTCAAGCAAAAAATAATAATAGTAATAATAATAACTGGTATTAAGTTGGGCTGAAAAATGAATTTCAATTTAGTAGATTATTTCGGCGAAACACACCTGCGCATATATATAGAACAACGCAGGGAAAATCTTGGCCGCCCCTATACAAGCTATAATTGTTTTCTATTGGTATTTATTTGGTATTTTGTTGTGTTGGTATTTGGCGTTGATTATTTTTTGTTTGTTGGTTGGTTGAATGCAGTTGTAGCGGTTGTTGTTGTTGATGCAGTTGTTGTTGTTGTTGTGGCAGTTGATGTTGTTGTTGTCGTTGTTGCAGCAATCATATTAGATGGTATATATAGTCGCCCATATGATTTATATTTAATTATATATAAATGAACATAAATTGTTTTTTTTTTTCAGTATTTTATGCGAAGCGACCAAAACGAAATTTCATAAAAATTAAATATTTTTATATATATATAATTAGTATATATATATATATATATAGGTGTGTGTGTATGTGTTTGTTTTTTTTTTTGCACAAGCGCACATGTAAAAGAGAGAGGGAGAGAGAAGAGAAAAAAGCAGTAAAGAAAGAGAGAAATAAAAAAATATTTATCAAATTATTTGATGTGTACCATTTGAGGAAAAAAAAAAGAGAAAAAAAAATTATGTAAATCCTAAGCTAAAATATTCCAAAATAATAGTTTTTTTTTTTTTTTATTAAAATTTGTATTTTGTTATTAAAGATAGACCTTGGCAGAGCAGCACCTCAAACGTGGTTTAAGAATTTTCAATTTTGAATTTGGAAGCTGGAATATTTAATTTTATCGAAATTTTATTTTGCCAATGTGGTATTTTGTTGCTTAAAAAAACGTTGCTCGAAATCGAACCTCGAATTTGTCCATAGAATTCTGTTGCTTTTAAACTGATTTTAACTTATTCAAGGCAAAAAGAGTACGACATTACGAATATTTATTTAAGAACAATTTACTGTGTGAGACTGGCTACACAACTAGAGATTATTTACATAGTTATAAAAGGTCACAAATAAATGTGGTATTTATTTTTGATTTTTTTTTTTCTGTATATATATATATTTTTTTTGTAAAGTGCAGGTGCAGCTTTGTGTGCATTGTGGTAAGAGGATAGAACGGAGCTGGGAAGGGTAGGTAAAAAATCATCACTATTGATTTAGGAGACAGACAGAGAGAAAGAGAAAGCTAGAGTGACAGAGAGAAAGAGAGATAGAGTGAGAGAGGAGGAACAGGAGGGAGTGTGCGGTGCAATAATATATATGTTGTATGAGTGCTTGTAGGCATAAAAAAGTACGAGTAAACGCAATAATAACGCCGCTGATCCTATAAATTAGAATTAAGAAACAAGCCCAAAAACCTTACGAAACCAGAACCAAAACTCAAAATATACAATGCATCAAGTAAATGTAGTCAACCGACACCAGCAAAATATGACAAAAAGTTACACCGAAAACAAAACACGAAAGATAAAGAATACTAATCACAAATGATAAATTCAATAATAGATATCCATGGCTTGCCAAGGACTGAATACCCTTGCAGTGAAATATGAAATGTGACTATGAGCGAGCGAAAGAGAGAGAGAGAAAGCCAGGGAGACAGAGCTATGTGAATCCCACTCTAAAGTTTTATCTCTTAAACAATCATTGGCTGTTTCCAAGCCAAAAAGTCAAGGGAAATCATCTTATCAGAGCTCCTAAATTATATTTTTGGTCCACTGAATAGATAGACAAACAGACGGACATAAAAATTAGTTTCATTTTCTCTTTGAATAACGATTTCTCGAGACTTTTAGTGAAAAGTTTGAAAAGAGAAATAAAATAAAATAATATAAGATCTATTGACTGATATCTTTTATATATCATTTTCAGTGCTACAGTTCTCGAAATTTTCATCGCATATGTCTGTGACTAGAACAAAGTTCAACTATACCAAATGTCGGACAGCTAGCTAAGCTCTCGGCCAAGTTCGTATAGTCCACTGCAAGGCTATATCTAACTGCAGGTTAATCAACGAAATAAAAAGAAATATGTTACAAGTTTGTTTTGATTTTTTTTTTTTTTTTTTTGCTTTTAGACAATTAATGTAGGTTAATTATTTGTTATTTTATTTGTCGGGACTTAGAGAAAAAAAAAACCACAGCTGGGACTTAAAACGTATTTTGGTATTAGATTTATGGCAGCCACTGTTAAGCTTACAATTTTATTGTTTAAAAATAATTATGTTTACGTAATGTGCTTGTGTAAATGTAAAATAATTACAAAAACAAAAAAAAAAAAAACATATTCATTAAGTATTATAGTAAATATAGAATTTCATTTGGTTATTAAATTTTGTGTTTTAAATGTGAATTGAAAATTATTTTTTTTTGTATATTTTTTTAAAGCATTTTTTGCAACTTAAGATTAATAAATTTCAAGTGTATCGAAAAAACGAATTTCATAAAGAATTGTTGGCTGTGTGGGGGCGTGGCATTTTTACTCAAGATTTCTTCTTCTTGTTCTGCGTGGTGGGTGTATGTGAGTGGTTGTGTGTGTGGGTGGGTGAGTGGTTTTTTGGTTGTGTGCGGGTCAGTGTGTGTTGTTGTTCATTTTCGAGGCAGTTTTGGATCGTTTCGTAGGTTCGTATTTGCTATTGTCGTGTGGGCATGCGCCTTCAGCTGTATATACAGTTATGAAATTGCTTAACAATTGTCATACTATATTGTATTTTTGTGGTATTTTTGGGTATTTTGAAAGTCATATGTGTGGCAGTTCAAAGTAAGTGTAAACACCTTCACCAGTATTGCAAAATTATTCAGTACCTATACATATATCATATAAATGTTATATATGATATATCTATATATATCATATTGGTATTTTGTTGCACTTATATATGTATGTGTGTGTGTATGTTACAATTGTTAGTGGCTTATTGTCATATATACAGAGTGTGTAATACCCTAGAACCAACAAATCCGTATCCGTTATAACTGTTTATTACCTGTAAGTGTGTTTGTGTGAGTTTATGTGTATGATTACATTTGTAGATAAGATACTTGATAAGTTGGGGCTCGCATATTTACATGTTTTTTTTGTTTTTGTTTTACCGAACATTGATCAGTTTTACAGAAAATATATACATACTTATATATATGTATATATACGTGTGTGTGCTTGTGTATGTATGTGTGTGTGTGTATGTGTGTATGTGTTTAGTCAAAGTAGTAGTAGCAGCTAGAGCTATACATACACATATGGATACACATATACATATGGACATTGAATATAGATATCTATATATATATAGGTTTTGATAAGAACAAAGTAAAATCAGCGAGCGAGCGGTTTCAATCATTCATTCAATCTGCTCTTCGGTTTATATTGGAATTATTTAACACTTATATCTTTCTTTAGTTTGATTCAATATATATTTTCTCATATTGCCAACAAAGCCTAATCCTTTTCGTTTTTACTTTCTTTCGATTTCTGTTAAGGTTTAATAATAATTAATTTTTTGTGGTATTTTTGGTATATATATTTCTTGTTTTTGGTATCATTTTGCAATCGAAATTCTCTGGCCTAAGAATCGAGTGTTTGTGTGTGTATGTGTGAGAGAGATAGGGGTAGATAATAGAGAGATATCTGTTGTGTTTGGGGTTTATGTGTAGAGGGATTTTTTTCATTACTTTATAAATCTTCTTCTTTTTTTTTTTTTTTTTAATTTTTGTTTGTTTTGTTGGTTTGGTAGGATGTTCAGTGTGGCTTTTCTTTTTAAGGTAGACGTTCTAGGGTTTACTCACGCTGTACACTCAAATCGACGTAGGTGGGCGGTAAGCGCTGTCCGGTGTTGATGTCGTACGAGTCGCAGATGTAGCGACCGGCATCCTCCAGGCGCAACGATGTCAATATCAGGATCTGGCTGTCGGCGCGAGCATTGTTGGGCAGCGGCTGTCGGTCCTCGCGAGTCCAGTGGAACTGTGCCAGGCGAACAATAATCGAATTGTCATCGATGCCCTATAAACGGATTGCTCTTAAGTATTCTCACCTGCGTGTTGGAGCGCTGCTCGCCACGTTGCGTCGTCACAGTGCAACGCATCTGGATGCTCTCGCCCTCGCGGCGCTGCTGCTGCATCGATATCGGCTGCTGCGTGTAGGTGGCCGGCGGACGCACAACCACCTGGGCGATCTTGCTGATGTTTCCGTATTCGTTCGACGCCGTGCAGCTGTAGCCGCCCGCATCGGCCGGTGTTATGGCTATGAAGCGCAACAGCTGTCCCTCGATGTGCACGGAGCTGTGTAGCGAGAGGGAGATGGATAGAAAGAGAGATGGAGAGAAAGCGAGAGAAAGAGATGGTGTTGGGGAGAGAACGAGCATATTATTATCGATTTTCGATTAACGATTGCTGCTTTACAGCCGGCAGAGAAGAATCATATTCTTTGTACTCTTGACTATTTACTTTTCGTTTTATTTTGTGGTGACTCTCAAACTGTAGTGTGCAAGATTCTTGAACTAATTTCTTCAGACTCTAAGAAGTGTAGACAGTGTACCTCTCAAATTGTAGCTTGAATCTACTTCAACCTCTTCAACCATACATTGCATGCATGCTTATATTTCTATTCCTGTGGTTCTTTAAGTGCCTAGCTTAAGTTTGCAGGCCCTCAAACTGTAATTTAATTGTATACGAATCTCCTGATATACTTTTCTTTTTTTTTTTTTTTTTAATATAGTTTTATTGCAGCTTTTGTCGTAAACTCTATAGCGCATTTATACCTGATATACTGTTATTATTTGTTTAGTTTTTCATCTATCTGGATAGTTAGAATTCTAATCTAGTTACCTACCTATATGTGACTCTTAAATCGGAACTCGTATTACCTTTTGATATTTCGATCATTAAATAAATTTTATATTTGATTTATTTATTCAAATTACATCTTAAGAGAATCTACTATACTCCATGTAGCAAAATTATGTATATCTGCTCTTTGAGATTTTCTCTGTTTAGAGTGCATACTTTTAGGATGATGCATTCGGATGCTACAATATATCATTCGCCAGATATACATACATCTCATTCATTTAAAAACAAACTTATATCGATAATTATCGATTTGGAAATAAAGGAAGTAAGCTCATACAGATAATACTGAGAATTTGTGTTATTCTCGTGTGATAAATAAAATGTTAGTCCCCGCTAAGAAAGGAAAATAGTTTCAGACTCACCTAGGCAGTGGTCGGTTATTTTCGGTGGTCCATTTCACGTCCTCGGGCCGGGCGCCTATCACATCGCAGTAGATCTCGACATTGCGATCGGCCTCCACCTCGAGTGGGATGTTGGGACGGAAGGTGATCTGTGGCAGTGGCGACCGCACCAATTCGCGCACGAGATACGTAACAATGGTGCCCCGATGATCCATGGCATTGCAGCGATATTGGCCGAGATTGTGCTCCTCAACGAATGTGATCGTCAGTTTATTGTGCTCGGAGCGAGCATTTGGCAGCAGCGGCTGTCCATCAACGCGCGTCCATTTGGTGTTCAGATAGGGATCCAGGTTGCAGGTGAGGGTCACATTAGCGCCCAGGTGGGTGGGGAAACGCTGAGTGTCCGAGCTGGGACGCTGGGGTGGATAGTATTGCGGCAGATAGGGATCGCGCTCCACATCGCCATCGCCTGTAAGAGAGTGAGAGAGGGAGCGAGAGAGAGAGAGAGGTGTAGTGTTGTAAAGTGTTGAACAGCGTGTTGGCTGAGCTACTTACGATCACCGATGTCACCTCGCTTGGGCTTCACATCGATGCGTACGGCCCGCTCATCGCTGCCCGCCTCATTCGTGGCCTTGCAGACATAGACCTTGGCATCCGCCTGTGTCACCCGATTGATATTCAAGTAGGCGGTGTTCGAGCCAACCTGGCGATTATCCAGCGCATAAACAACCGGCTGGTCGTCCCATTGCACGGTCGGGTTCGGTGTGCCGCTCGCAATGCACGTAATGCGCACCTCGTCGCCCTCGGTGTACTGTATGAGGGATTCGTTCGGCTCCAATTCGATCACCGGTGGCTCTATTACGCGTATCGTCACAACGCCTGTGGTGCGTCCAACGCTGTTCACGGCCGAGCACTCGTAGTCACCGCTATCCGCTAACTGTACTTCATTGATGCTGCAAGGGAAATCGGGCGATTGTCATCAAGTCGATATTAGATAATAAGTACAGTGATACTTACAGTACGTAGCCCGGGTGCTGCTCGATGTGTCGGGACGAGAGTGGTGCATCGTCGACGCGGCGCCACTGCACCGTCGGCTCGGGTATGCCATGGGCGCGACAATAAAGTACTCCCTGTTCGCCGACGGTGAGCGTCCTTATTGGCTCTATCTCAACGCTCGGTCGCTCCCGAGCTGCAATCAAGTAAATTATGGTGGTTGTACAGATTAGTATTAGGATCAGACTGTGCGGACCTGTCTTATTACCGACTCCACTCTTGTGCACTTGCATTTATAAATTATATATTATTAAGTATTAAAATTATCAATATACATAGGAAAATTGTTTTCAGTTCAATTAATTTACCAACATTGTCAAAATTGATTGTGGCAAGCAAATGGGAAGGAAGAAACAGAGCAAAGAGAGTTGTTATACACTCGGCGTTCCTTGTTTTTGTGGGACTACATCATCTGGTTTAGTCTATAGCTGCTGAGCTTTTATGGAATATGCGAGATTTAGCTGAACAAACAGAAAATATCAACAAAGCTTCTTAGAGTATCAAAGTCTTGATTGCTTAATCTAAACTTTGCTCAAGCCATTCGAGCTTTCAATTGAATGAATAAACTTGCGAGTATGTAAAAGTTTCCTTAAATTTTTAAAGCCAGATTTGTATTGAGCCTCATATTTTTAAGCATGTGACGTAAACAAATTTTTAAGTCTTATTAAGGCTTCAATAAGAATAATGCTTTAGCTCTTAGTTAAACATGAAGCTTTAGCATCCATGAAGCATTCTATTTTGATTGACTTTTCACATGAGCTGAACTCACATTTATATAAAAAGAAGCTGTCAATGGAATAAAAGCTTTGTCGAATTATCGGTTTATTTAGCTTCAAGTTGAGATTTCAAGCTTAAATTTTATATGCACTAGCAGTTGAGCTTTGTAGTACTTGAAATTGTCTCAATTCATATTTGTACATGCTCTATAGCTAAACAAGATGATGTTGCTGTCGAGGGCCAATAGCAATTCGCTGGGCAATACATAATCATGCGATAATAGAATCCTATAGATTGTGTAGTTCGTATAAACTAGATTGGGACTTACGTTCAACATCGATATGAGTGTTTGATTGATCTGTACCAAGGGCATTCTCGGCCGTGCACACATACCAGCCACGATTCTCTATCATGGCATTGTGAATGCGCAGAACATTGCCCGTGATTTGGACATTCGAGGGCATTGAGTCGCGCACCTTCATCCATTTAATGCTAGGGTAGGGAGAGCCGGTCGATTCGCAAGTAATGCTCAAGTCACTTCCCTGATATATGACGTATTCCTCCTTGAGTCGTACAATACGGGGAACAACGCTGCAGGAGAACAAAGAAATACATGTTTTTTATGATGTGTTTTTATGAAATTTTAAGACGAAAAAGTGCGAAAAATCCGAATCGGAAAGAATTGCCTTTGCACGAGCTTCTTTTTTTTTTTTTAATCGAGAGTAATATTTATTATCTAGCAGTGGCATTAGAATTAACTGTTTGTCCGTCCGTTTTTCTCTCTTTATATATGTCCGTATGGATGTCCGTATTGATATCCGTTTGGATGTCCGTGTGGATATCCGTTTGGATGTCTGTATGGATATCCGTTTGGATGTCTGTATGGATATCCGTTTGGATGTCCGTATGGATATCCGTTTGGATGTCCGTATGGATATCCGTTTGGATGTCCGTATGGATATCCGTTTGGATGTCCGTATGGATATCCGTTTGGATGTCCGTATGGATATCCGTTTGGATGTCCGTATGGATATCCGTTTGGATGTCCGTATGGATATCCGTTTGGATGTCCGTATGGATATCCGTTTGGATGTCCGTATGGATATCCGTTTGGATGTCCGTATGGATATCCGTTTGGATGTCCGTATGGATATCCGTTTGGATGTCCGTATGGATATCCGTTTGGATGTCCGTATGGATATCCGTTTGGATGTCCGTATGGATATCCGTTTGGATGTCCGTTTGGATGTCCGTATGGATATCCGCTTGGATATCCGTTTGGATGTCCGTTTGGATGTCCGTATGGATATCCGCTTGGATGTCCGTATGGATATCCGTTTGGATGTCCGTATGGATATCCGTTTGGATGTCCGTATGGATATCCGTTTGGATGCCCGTATGGATATCCGTTTGGATATCCGTTCCTTAAGAGCGAAAGATGTAGGTCCTTCTAGATCACAGTCAAAGTTTTCCCAATTTTCAATTGATCAATAATAAACGTCTTAAGACGATACGGTAAGGGCCCTTTTGATCATAAGATCATATTAAAATACTCCGAAATTCCAACATGATGAAGCATATTAATTCAGCTCGGCAGATATATGCTAAATCTGAAGCTTTCGTTGTGCCTTAACTCACCCATTGCCGATGGGAGGCTGTTGGCGTTCTTCGATATAGACGCGCGCATCTTCGGTATAGTTGCGATGCGTCCTCAAATCGATGCCAACGCACGTGTAGACTCCATTATCCCGGGTGGTAGCATCTCGAATCTCTAGCGTATCTCCGCTAATGATAACGTGCGACGACTGCGGGACATTCAGTGGATAGCCATCGTGCAGCCACTCATAGTGCAGCTGGGCGCCGCTGGTCGATTGGCAAACGAAGCGAATTATGTCGCCAGACTCGCCGTTGTAGTTCTCCGGCTGTATGTAGAGCCGTTCCCGTGCTGGGGGCTGTGGCTGCGGTGCATTACCCACGACATAGACCTGCACATATTTCTCATCGACATTCAGATCGTTACGCGCCTGGCAGCGATAGCGTCCCTCGTCCGATTTACGTGGCGACTCGAATATCAAGCGTGAGCCATCCGTGCGCGTGTTTCCGTCCGCTTGGCCATCGATGCGGGTCCAGATGACTACGGGTGCAGGATTGCCCTCCACCTCGCAGTTGATCTCGTTGGGAACGTATTCATTGAAGGTCACCGTCTGCGGCAGATTGACAATCTGAGCGCGCGAGCGTTGGGAATGCGCTGCGAGAGGGAGAACGAGAGGGAGAACGAGAACGAGATAAGGGAGAATATTAGTAAGGATGATATTAAGAAAAGGAAATCAATTGAATCCTCAATAGCTACCATAGCGTGCCAGCATTTCTTTGGCATATCCTTTACACAAATGCCGCATGTCAAATTAGTTAACTTTTTAGATTGTTTATCCCGACTTGAGAAAAGCAATAGTGTGCAAGAGACTTACGTGTTATGGTTATGGAGACCATGTCCTCGTAGGCGCGAGAGGTCTGGTTGTTGACAGCACGGCAGATGTAGACGCCAGAGTCGGGCACTTGCATATTATAGAGACGCAGAACTCCGCCGGAGATCTCGGCTGTGTTGGGCAATTGGCTGTTCTGCTTGTACCAGCTAACGACAACAGGATTCTAAAGGAGGCATAATTGAATGGAATCGAATGATATTTCCCAGCACTTCTCAATCAATCACTTACATTATTCCACTTCATGCGACCGTTGCAGTGCAGCGAGATCGAGCCACCGACGGGCATTATCGTGATCTGTGGCTTCGATATCGATACGATTATTTGACTGCGTATATTGTCGGGCTGTTCAGTGGTTGATGGCTCTGGTATTCCATAGTCTGATGGGTTAATGTAGAGTGAAACGATTAATTCGACTTAAGATACGATTATATTATTTACTGTTAGGAATTCAACTCTTTACAGTTTGGTTTAGTGACACAGTTGCGGTTTATTAACGCCAAACACACAAAACGTTTGGAAGATGGGGTAAGGTCAAATGGGCATTGGAGGTTTTGGGACTGGGGTTTGGTTTCTTTTGATTGTGGTTGGGTAGCTTCCATAGTTTTTTTTAGGCACCAACTACTACACAGGTATATACCAAATGCCAGACGCAGCTGGACTTAAGGACTACAATAGGAGTTGACATACATAGATTGATTTATTTAGAGAATCTATATAGTATGAGAGATACGTTGAGCTGGCCGTGTTCTTAGCTCAGAGTGCAATTGTGTGAATGGGAGCTCCTCTAAAGAGTTGGGGTTAGTTAAGAGTTGCTAAATTTATCACCGACTACTTGACAACGACAGTGACAGCGACAGTAAACTGTAGAGTTCCAGAAAGTATTCAAATATTGAGTTTTATACTTTTGCAGCGATTGATTTTTTATCAAATTTGTTTTCTAAAAAAAATTGGCATACAACATTCTTGAAGAAAGCCATACAAAAATGTAGGTATATATTATTATATCAGACGGAAGAAGAACTTTTTAGAAAATTTATTTTATTTTATTATTATTTTTTTTTTGTATAAGAATTTGGTCAGTTTTCCAAAATATCCTTAATATTTCTAATCTATTTAGGTTTTTGTAGTTAGAGCCTCATTAAATCGGAAGACCCTTTGACTGAGGTTATCCAGGACCATGTCATTATGATAGAATTTTCCAATTATAAATCTTATTTATGCTGAACACAAAATGTGATTACAAATCTGCTGCCGCAAGAGTATTTCAACTTCGGCATGCCGAAATTAACTTTTCTTCGCTGTCCTACTAGAGTAGATAGTATTTATACACAGAGTTATCCAACTATGAGTACGTAGCATAGCGATGAGGCACACAGATTTTCTTTATACACAAATAAAATAATTTTCGTTTTTAAGATGGTGCTAGAAAAACAAATCGAAAACAAATTAAACAACAACATGGGCGTAGAGCTTAGATCTAGAGGTATCTAGAGCGATGCAGCTCTGCAATAGTAAGCACAAAGAGAGACACTGAATGAAAGTGTGAGAATGAAAGAGAGGGGAGAGAAAAAGATAAGGAAGACAGAGGGCGGGATAGTGCCTACAAAGTATGCACAAAAGTAAACACAGAGAGAAAGAGAGAGAGAGAGAGAGAGCGAGAGATGGAGGCAGAGAGGAATCTAGGCAGGAATTCATGTGCTTAAAAAAGTTTTTTTTATAAATAAAATATTTAAACATAATTGCATAAAAGGTTTTTTTTTTTCTCTCTTTTGATTAGAATCTCTCTCTTGAGTTACAATGGATAGGATATACATGGTGATGATTGGAGTTATTGAGCACACTGGGAGCGAATGGGGGAAAATGTAATAAAACAAAACAATTTCTAACAGAAGGAAGCCTAAGAATATTTTAATGTATTTATATACATACGTATACATATATAAATATATAGTATTATATGTATGTATGTATGTACGTATGTATGTATGTATGTATGTATGTGTGTGTGTAATATGACTTGACTACTGGGTAAGCGGATAATTTTTTGCAGTGTAAAAGTAGTTTACAAACAGTTGATATGGGACAAACAGAGACAGAGACAGAGAAAGAGAAAGAGAGAGGTGGCAATTAAAGAGAGACAGATAGCGATAGTTGTTGTTGTTGTTCGTTTGTTTTGTTTTTTGATGTGTGTGTGTGTTTGTTTTGTTTAATTGATTGATTGTTTGATTGATTCGATTGATTGATTGATGATTGGCGAACCTCGCTGATGGCAGCCGTTGCGCAGTTTCGTTATATTTCCTATCACTCTGTTGCCCTTATAAATCAGCAGAGTGTCATTATACGATATTGTCTCGTTGGGCTCAATATCGAACCGAAAGCCGTTGCAACAGTATCCCCTGTATATATCGCATAGCTTGGGCGGCTCTTCAATCATGCGCGATGTGTCTAGAATGTGGATGGATTGGATGTTTGTTTTGATGATTTCATATATTTCACCGATAAAGATGATCGTATAAGGGAATTTTGTTTATGATTATTTTGTTGTATTTTTTTTTTGTTTTTTTGTTTTTTTTTTGTTTTTGTGATGTGAACGGGTGTGTGGTGAATAAAAAATAAAGTTGAAAGATATGTAGAAAATTGTATAAAATTATGAGAGAATAGCTAGGCTTAAAATAAATAAAATATATATATATGTATATGTCTAAAAAAAAAGGCTGAAGGGACATATCGTGTATGTGTTTGTGTTTCAGAGAAAGAGAAAGAAAGAGAGAGAGGGGGCAGAGAGGTAGAAAGAGTAAGGGCGAGAGAGCGGGGTAAGCGGAATTCTGATAAGAGCTGGATCATCATGATTTGGCTGAATTCAAGCTGAAGAAACTGAAAGTTCGCGTCCAATCGACTTGACTGGGTGGGGGCACAATCGGTTTGTATCTAAGTCTGGTGCCCATTCTAGACCAAACTACAGATAGATCCAGTTAAATGGTTTCCTCTTCTCGTTTTCATTTGGCTTTGCCTCTAATTTTCGATGTATGCTGCCGTGCTGCCAGCACAGCTACTTACCGAAGTCCTGGCAACGATCGCCCTTGAAATTCTGCTTGCACTGGCACTCGACGTAGCCGCTGCTGCCCAGGTAGCAGCTCTGGGTGTTCTCCTCCTGGCATGGACAGCTGCGGCACTGGCCGTTCTCCTCGCGATAGTGGAGCGGAGCGCAGTTCTCGCAGGAGTTGCCCGTGTAGCCGGCCGGGCATTGGCACAGCTCGATGTCCGTTACGAGCTCGGCGCCGGGCTGATCTGCGTCCAATGACAGTTCCCAGGTCACATCGCTAATGGAGGTGCGAGTGGTGGGGATTTTGGGTGTGGCACGAATAAGCAGATGCTCGATATTGACCAGAACGCTCATGATGTCGTGTCGGGAGGCGGGTACGGCGCTGCCACTGTCCAAGCGCAGCCACTGCTCCTCCTCGCTGAGGCGCACACTGTACTCGTTGAGCTGGGAATCCTTCGCCGGTCGGGACCAGACCAGGCGCACGCCATTGCCAATAAGCACCACATCGTTGCCGGGCTGATAGTCGCCGAAGGACTCGGCGACCAGGGTATATTTCAAGTAGCCGCCATAGGCGTGCAGTTGGTTGCCTTGGACATTGCCGCGCAGACTCCAGTACTTGGTCGAGTACGACGGATAGGTGTAGGTGTACATGTTGGTGGGAATGTCCTTTTTGAGGTTGCTATCGTCCATTTCCATTTGCTGTCCGTATTCGTCCGTGATCAGAGCCTTGTTGCTAATGAAGTCGATGGCGATTAGCTGGCGATAAGCCACGGCGGAACGGCACTGAGACGAATGGCCCGAGCAGAAGCAGTCCTTGCATCCGTCCGGATTGCTGGAGGCCAGGCCGAAGGTGTTCGGACGGCACTGGTCGCAGCGTGCGCCGACCACGTTGCGCCTGCAGTAGCAGACACCGTTGCGGCAATCCTCTGTGCCGTCTCTGTTGCACCATTGGCATTCGCGCTGATCGTCTGGCGTCGGCTGGGGCGGTTGCGGCGGCTGTGGCCCATTGTTGTCCGGCTGGCAGTCATAGGGCGTGCCACGAGTGGCATCGCCCACATAGCCGGCGGCACAGCGATCACAGTTCTCGCCCTCGGTGTTGTCAGCGCAGCTCTGTGTGGAGCGGAGGGGGTAGGGGCGTATTAGAAGTGGAACAGTTGCATTTTCTTACAGAGTCTTTAGCACTTACCAGGCACTCGCCAGATTCGGCATCGCATTGCGTGGAATGACCATTGCACTCGCAAGGCTCGCACAAGCCCAGGTAGAGGCCGCCTTCGACATTGCGCTTGTAGCCGGGTGCGCAACGCTCGCAGGATAGTCCAATGTAGCCCTGGGGACAACGGCATTCCTCCACTTCAAGGGCGCGCTGGGTGCCGTAGCCATTTGAGGTGGCCACGTCCATGACGACCTGCTTGAGGGATCCCTCCATGGTGCTGGTGGTGTAGGTGGCCTTGATGTAGATGGCATCGATCTTGCTGAGCGCCATCAACAGATGCTCGCGATTGGTGGCTTCGCCGTCTATGCGCTGCCAAGCGCTCTCAATGATCGGCACGGCGTATGAGTTCGAGGTGCTGGGACTGACGGCTGCTTTGCGGAAATGAATGAGGGTTAGATCCTCGCCGCTCTTGATGACCACATCGGGTGCGCTGTTGCGCGACATCTGGCCGCCGGGCAGTGGGCTGTAGCTGAGGGTGTAGTTGAGACGTCCGCCATAGGCGGTCAGTTTGTTGCCCAGGAAGGGGGCGGGCAGGCTCCAGTACAGGGTGTCGGCGCTGTATTCCGAACCGGACCTGAAGCTAATCTCATTGGAAAGCGTATCGAAGGGCACGGACTGAGGGCTGGCCAGCGTGTAGTCGCGCACAAGCTGGAAGCCATGTGGCACATGAGAGTGGCCGAAACTGCTGCTGACCTGCTCGCGATACCACGAGGTGCTGGTACACTCCGCCTGCAGGCCGCTGCAGAAGCACTCAATGCAGCCGGAATAGGTGAAGGAATTCAAGTGGAAGCTGTTCTGTGCACAGGTGTCGCAACGATCTCCGGTGACCAGGGCCTTGCAGTCGCAGCTGCCATCGGCGTTCTGGTTGTAGGTGCCCTCGATGTTGCACTGCGATTCGGGTGTCTTGTGGCAGGCACCGCCCGGAATCAATGGGTTACCCTGATAACCGGCGGCACAGCTCTCACAGCGTCTGCCCTCATAGCCCTCGTGACAGTTGCAGATGACATCGTTGTCGGGACTTAGCTTGCAGCCGTTGGCAAAGTTATTGGTGCCGGTGTGCGGGCAGGGGCACTCGCTGCAGGGTATTCCATGGCGCGGATCACCGAAGGTGCCGGCCGGGCAGAGCTCGGGCACGAAGGGTACACAGCGACCCAGCCAGGGACCGCCCGGCTGGCGTACAAATCCAGGTGCACAGCTTTCACATGAATCCCCAATATAGCCAGGTGGGCAGTTACATTTCTCAACCAGCGAGGCACTTCCCAGACCCTGATCCGTGGTGCCAGCCGAGTCCATGGCAATGTTGGTTAGCTCCACTTCGCGTGCCACCGAATCAATATAGCCGAGACGTATCAGAATGTTGTCCACATTGGCCAGTATCATCATGATCTCCTCCCGTGTGGCCTTGCGACCGTCGGGCTTCAGCCAATTGCCTGGCAGGAAGCTGATCTTCACCTTGTTCAGTATGTTGGCCTGGGTGCGCACGCGATTGGTGAGTATGAAACCGTTGCCGGTGATGATGGCATCGGGTCCAGAAATGGGACGTCCACTGCCCAAATAGTTGACCTCATAACGAAGCTCGCCGCCATAGGACTTCAGCTGATTGCCCATGTACTCGCTGGGCAGGGCCAGGTAGGGTGTTTCGCGGCTATTGTATTGCACGTCGGAGGCACGGAACTGCACACCATGATGGAGCGTAAGCAGAGAGTGTCCGCTGCCCTCGTTGATGACGATCTGCTGATAGGGCGTCAGATCGACGGTGACGACGCGGTGCGACAGGATTGGTGGCTGTATGGCATAGGTGAACAGATTGGCGCTATCGCAGGAGCTGGCCACACCGAAGCAGAAGCACTTGATGCACTCCTCGGTGGAACGTGCCAGCATATTGAAGAAGCCAGCCTCACAGACCTGATTGCGATCAGGTATCACCTTCACTATGGTATCGGGCGTTACGAAGATGGTGCCGCGCGTATTCATTATTTCGCAAGAGTAGGCGCCGCTGTCCTTGTACTGCATGTTGGGGCAATAGAGATCACCGCGACCGTTCGAGCTCGTGAACGTGCACTGGTCAGGCACATGACCCCAGTTGAGACGCCAAATGATCGTCGGAACTGGCACACCCGTACCCGTGCAAGTCAAGTTCAAGGACTGTCCCTCCAGCAACGACTGCATCGGTGGTGGTTTTCTCAGTGGCTTCGGGTCCGCTGCAATGCAAATGATGTGTATGTCAATAGATTGTTATTGATTTTCTGATTTGCTACTGATTTGTGACTTACTGCAGCCGAACTCATCGCTGCCATCACGGCAATCGTTGATGCCGTCGCAGTGGAAGCTCTTGGGTACACAGTGACCGGTGGAGCATTGGAATTCGTCGTAGCGGCAGGGCGCACCACTGGGCTCGGGATCGCAGGACTCTTCGTCGGAATTATCACCGCAATCGTCTTCGCCGTCGCAGCGCCATGTGCGCTCCACGCATTTGGTGTTTCTGCACAAGAACTGATTGGGCTGGCATCTGCGTCCGTGGCTGCATCGGTGCTCATCGGATCCATCCGAGCAGTTGGGCACGCCATCGCAAATCTCCGACTTGTCAATGCATTCGCTGTTCATGCAGGTCGCCTGGTATTCGGTACAGGCTGTCGGTGGGCGTTCGTGTTCGTCGATATTGACTGTCGAATAGAAGAGCACACGTACAGAGCTATAGCTTCAAGAATTCCGTCATAGTTGTGACCTATTCAGTCTTACCAGCATAATAGCCAGGTTGGCAGTAGGAGAATTGAAAAATATTTTATGGATTATCTAATGCTCAAATATGATTCGTGGAGCTGACATTGGTCTAAGACTTTCAATAAATGCTACCTAACGCCGCATTGATGAAATGATTTTCCATCTAATTTATCTAATGAAGTATATTGAAATTCCTTAAGGAATGTTTTTACTATCTATCAAAGACCAAGTCCAGCTCCAAATCAGCTTACGAAAACTTCCAAATTTACCTAGACCAAAGAATTCAAGATCAATATGTGGAACGGTGCCATATTTGATTCGATTTGATTTCGGCTCCTCGTATTTTTGCTCGCCCCAAGCTGCGTCCAAGCAGAATTCGTAGCAAACGGAGAGTATAGTATTCAACAACCCCAATTAAACCCAACCAAATCTCTAGGGATTAGTAATAAACCACCCAAGATTATACTTACAGCGTTCGACAGTCAGATGGACGGTCACTTGTTGGCCCTGAATGTAGCTCGGGTAGCCAACAGCTTCGCACACATAGGTGCCAGAGTCCTCCACCTATTGATACAATGGTTAGATTATAATCGAGTGTGAATATTGTAAGGATGAGTGTAACTTACGCGTATGTTGGGTATTTCCAGACGTCCTCCCTTGTCGGAGAAGCCAACAGGCAATGGGCGACCGCCGGGGCGTGTCCACCTGACCTTGGCACGGGCTGGACCCTCGTCACGGCAGCGGAAGATGACCTCGCGACCTGCATGCCGCAACAAATATTAGGTAATATTCATAAAGAAGGAACGTATATATATATATATAAATTAGATTATCTAATAGTTGGTAGCATAGCGAGCAAGTATTGGATCTAAGTAGGACTATAATACATTTGAATTGTGATTGTGTGTGAGGGGATTTACAGTTGTGATTGTTCTAAGGTATCTAGCAGGTGTGGGTGCTGACTGCAACATCAATAATAATATTAATTTCGACAGAATGTACAACGCCGGACCTGTTGCCAATTGCTGTGGTGCAGTAGTGGTGCAGCTGTACGAGACGAGTGACTACTATTTATATAGAGTGTGTAGTTAGGCCAACTTACCCTCCCTAATATATCCTGTAGGTATTTAATTTATGGGTTATGTCATTTTGGTTGGGTTAAGCATTAAAAGTAATGGTAAAGCATTATGTAGAATCAAACAAACCATTATAACCATTGTAGACAAAAAAAACAAAGAAATACATAAAAACGTTCTTCGAATGCGTTCGAAGCGGCTTTAGAGCCTTGCAAAAGAATAATCTTGACCAGGTGTGCGATGTACCTGACAAATATATTTCGATTACATATATCGAGCTATCGAACAGACAACGATAAGTTAAAGCGGTGAATGAGCTTGCAATATCTCAGATCGATAACAGACAAAGCTATCGATATCGAAAACGCCTCTGATTGTTTACAAAACCATAAAATGGATTTATTGATATCGTTGATCAATATCAAATAAATTTTTCGATATCTTCTTCAATGGTATCGATATCGATAAGATATAGTCAAAGCAAGTGAATATCTGGAAATACAACTATCGATATTTGTCATTTTCGATACCGTTATCGATTACAATTGACATAAATAATCGATCTTTTGCAAGGCATTCTGTTCTGGTTTCTGTTTGCCACCCAAGATTATACTTAAAATTCTTTTCTCAACTCACTTTCTTTGATGATCTGGCTGTCCGGGTAGGTCTTCAGGTTCAACTGGCTGCGACCAGCAGGAGAGGTATCGGATGCTGTGAAAATAAAAAGTATACTTGGCGCATTAGTCTATGATCTACTGCAGACGAATTATAATATTAGTCGTATTTATAGAGAAAATTATTAAATGGAGAATCGACAGCGTATAGCTATAGTAGACCCGCACTGTTTCCTAAACCGTTTAGTACTCTGGTTGATTGGTTAAGCTAATATTAATATAGTTGTGATTGTTGGTGGTGGTGGTGGTGGTGTTGGGGTTGTTTGTGCTGACACCGTTGTTGTTCGGGATAGTACACGGGTCGCTGAGCACTTACTATCGATTTCATTAGTGATGGGCTCACAGTCCAGCTCATCGCTGGCATCGAACGGACAATCGATAACACCATTGCAGCGCGCTGTGAGCGCTATGCAAGGACCATTCTCACACCGGAACGCGGTGGGTGGGCAAATAATGCGCAATGGCCCCACAGGCAGCACTGTAGTTGTCGTTGGCGCCACCGTTGTGGTTGTCGTTGTGGTGGCGGTGGTGGTGGTGGTGGTTGTTGGCGATGCAGGCCTGTAGCTAGCTAAATGTTGATGACCTCATCACGATCAGTGATCAATCAATCAATGACAATGATGATGATATTATGATGATAATGATGATGGTCATGGTGATGATGATGATGTTCTTGATAACGGATCAAGCTGGTTGCTGGTCGCCCTAGCCTAAGCCCCAGTTAAGGACTCCCACACAACTGGCTACTTACCACAATTGCTCTCATCGGAGCTATCCTGGCAATCGGTCTTGCCGTTGCACCGAGCGGTCAGGCTCACACACTGTCCGTTCCGGCAGCGGAACTGATTATGCTGGCATTGCAGTATGTCGCAGTTCTCCTCGTCCGAGCCATCCATGCACTGTCTGATTCCATTGCAGACGTCGTCCTGGGACACACAATTCCCATCCCGGCAACGGAACTGATCCGAAGCGCAGCCTGTGTGGAAGCGAACAAGTGAAAAGATTATTAACTGAACTAGTTCCGAGCGAACTTTTGCTACAGCTGTACGGAATCCATAGCTAGACAAATCATAGTTATATAGTATATATATATAAAGAGGTAGACAATATATATATCGTATAGAAACGAAAGAGTGCATACACATGTGTAACTCGTGTTGTTATCGTAAATATCGTTTTCCAATAATCGTTGTGTCTTAAATTTGGACTAGAGTTTCTTTCACTTAGCTAGCATGCAGTTGGCTTAGGTACGAACTAAAACAATGTACAGCTACAACTAATATAATGGCTTAAATAATTGCAGAAATTTGATTATTAACCAATACAGTTCTGTTCATCGGAAAAGTCTTTGCAGTCGTAATACCCATCGCAGTGCTGTGTTGCATTTATGCAAAACTGTCGATCGTAACAGAAAAACTCGGTTTCCTTGCATTGAGTACCTGTTTAATATTTTTTTAATTTTTTTTTTTTTTAATTTGGTGCAATTTTGCAAAAGAATTTGTTATAAGCGACAAAAAAGAAAGACGTCAGAGATAGTTAAAGTACATATATTTATATTTGGAGAGAGAGAGAGAGAGAGACAGTCATATATACATAGATAGATCAGTGCATTGTAATTAGTGTGTAGATGTAAATGTAAGCAAGTGAGATAGAGAGACAGTGGAAGAAAGAGTGGGAGAGAGAGAGAAAGTGAGTGAGTGAAAAAGAGAGTGAACAACATTGATCAGCAACTGAAAACAGAAAGCATATAACTAACTAGACATACATAAGTACGATTACGAGTACGTCAATCAAAAACTAACTCAAACTAGGTGCCTCAAGTGCTATGCAAAATACAAATCCAAAAACTGAAGAAGTTATCAAAACTGAGTGTGCTTTAAGCAGTTATCCTTAGCAAAGAAAAGAAACGTCATCTCCTAAAGTTTTTTGACTAATTAGTATTTGAATCGATAGAATTAGGGGGTGTAGGTTTTTTAAATCGATATCCATTTAAATAAATGGGATATTACAACTTTCAAATGGCTGCTCAGAAAGTTTTTAATGCATTCGACTGCGAAAATAATCGGAGGATAATAAAACGATAATTTTAACCTCAATCATTTTGAATATTTTAACCGCTGAAAGTTATCGATGAATTAAACAATATAGCTATTGGAAATAGTATCACTCTTGTGTGTTTATTGCAAAACTGAAAACATCTACTATAAATACTTTCGAAAACTATTGAAGGCATTCAATGATTGGGTGACAATTAGCTGTAAGTTATGAATGTAGCTATCGGAAATAGATTTTCTCTTCTTTGGTCACGCTTGAGATGAATCTATCAAATCGAAAAACTCAGCTAAATTAAGCCAGCGTTAAAGCTGGAGCCTATCGCTTAACTTATACCTGGATTACATGTTTGTAACTCTCTTGTGTTTCAGGGTCTCTCACTTTAAGATGATGAGTGCGTTCTGCATGCGCCCTAGCGTTACGGAAATTGTTTGAGTTACGAGCAGTGATTCTGTTTGATGGCGATGATATCGATTTTAGGATTGAATATGAAATACTTACAGTTGGCCTCATCGGAGCTGTCTTCGCAATGGCGACGACCGTCGCAGCGTTCGCTTTCCGTGTAGCATCTGCCACTGGGGCACGTGTGCTGTGGACAGGGTAGTGGCGGATACAATGGATGACGTGTGGTATGCAAATGGCAGTCGCGCTCATCGCTGCGGTCGATGCAATCGATATTTCCGTCGCACAATATCGAACGATCAAAGCACGACTCATCGCAAAAGAACTGATCTCGTCGGCAGTCATTCGCGGTCAATCGATCGGTGGCTATGATGGCGATGACGATATCGATATCGAGATGGCGATGGCGATGGCATGCAATTTATTTGTGATGTGTGTGTGTGTGTCGATACCGTTATCAGGATCACGATACCGATAGCAATACCGATGGCATTTACGTGTTAAGCGTGTTTCAGAAGCATAACAAGAAAGAGAGAAGAGAATCGAGATGAGCAATGCTTGTTTGGAGAACAGTTGAGTCGTCGACATTAGTGAAGCGCAACATTCAGTTCATAAACACAAACTCACTTAGTAGTATTACATATATACAAGCAATACAAACCTGTTGCGATACACGCATGTCTATCGCTGTTTATCGATAGACGCTAAAAAGCCTAACTTATAGCTATAATTATATATGAATATATGTATATATAAAGTTTAAACTAATTGGAATTGGATTTTTGGTTTGGATAATTTTTGTTTTCTTTGGCTTTTTGGATTTTGATTTGATAATGGGTGACTGATTGGATCGAGTGGGTGGTTGTCTGGTTGGTGGGGGTGATTTTTTTTTGTTTTTTAATGGAATTGTGTGTATCGTTACCCTGTCCCAAGCATCTACTCGGCAATTCATCCGATTCGTCCGTGCAATCGGCATGTTTGTCACACAAAAAATCGGCGTTAATACATTCAGAGTTTGAGCACTGCCATTGATATGGTTGGCATTTCCTAACTGTTGTATTTCTAAAATGCTTGCTGCCAGCTGTGTGTGTTTGTGTGTGTGTTTGAGTGTGTGTGGCGTTTGTTAAAACAAAATGACAAAAATAACAAACGTAAAAATAAAAAATAAATAAATAAAACGCATGAGCATTACAAAAATTATGCGGAATATTTCTGACTTGTGAGAGCAATAGGCTAAACGAGATAGCAAAAGAGCAAAGAATAAGAGAAAGAAAGAAAATAAATAGAGAGAGAGAGAGAGAGAGAGAGTAACAGAAAAAGAGAAAAAGATGGATAGATGACGGTGTATGTAAAAGTGCGAAAGCAGCTGTGATAGGGCTCCTTATGAGCTATCGATACTGATCGATATATATCGATCAACTCAATGTTTTAAGTAAAATTTGAATAAACGAAAACGGAATAATGCGAAACTTAATTTAGCAATACAAAGTAATCGACAATAAGTGTCGATTACAATATACAAAAATATTTATTAAATGACATGACAAAAGCAATGCAAAATCATGGCTGCTCTGCATGATATCGATTTGCATCGATATCAGGTTAGAGCTATGCTTAATAAGCAGCGCGAGCAATAAAAAAAAGTTTAGTGTGTCTAAATAGAGATCGATAACTATCGATTGGTAGAAATAATAAGATAAAAGATAATTTCGAAGGAAAAGTCTACAGAATTGAAAGTATAAAAGTGAATGTGTAATTGTTACCCGGACAATCGAGCTCATCGACGCCATTGTCGCAATCGCGTATACCATCGCAGCGCAGCGACCAATCGAGGCAGGCGCCGTTACAGGCGATTTGATTTATCGCACAGCTGCTACCTTCAAAATGTAATGCAAAACAATGAAAATATATGGGAAAATAACAAAATCAAACACTGTTTTAGCTGAGCTACTATATTACCAATTAGACACAACTAGCTACAGCAAAATATCGAATAAAAATTATCGAGAAATCAAAAGAAATTCAAACTACATAAGTGCTACGACTACGATGCAGCTACGCTTGCAGTGCGAGGGTTTGATACGGTAATTGATTATATTTCAGGTTGCAGATTAATAGGTAGAGGTCAGTTATCGGGGAGAGTTTCTTCTTTTTTTTTTTTTTGTGTTTTTTTTTTTTCTATGTAATGTGTGCTTACCACAGTTGAGCTCATCGCTGCCATCGGAACAGTCCGCGATGCCATTGCAATGCAGCTTGGCTGCAATGCAATCGCCCGTGTTGCAGCTGCCGATTGAGCGATAAGTTTATCGATTATCGATGATAATGGCGATGGCGATGGCGATGATCGTGTGTAACAGTGTGTGTGTATGTGTGGGTGTGGTTGTGTGTGCATGAGTGTGTACATGGAAATATATAGAATAGCTGATCAGATTCGTGTCGATGATGACGGCTAGGATGAGCTGAGCCTTTTGGGAAGGTGTCTTACAGATAGGCCTCATTGCGACATGATGTACAGTTGCGTTCGTCGTTGCCATCGTTGCAGTTGACAATACCGTCGCAGAGCTGATCGCGCGGTATACAGTAATCATCGCACTCGAATTCGTGCTCTAGACAATGCTCTGCAAAATGTTTACGATCATGATTATGTATATGTGTGGGTGTGTGTGTGTGTGTATGTGTGCGAGTGAGAGTGAGTTTCGTGGGCGTAATTAGTTAGACAGTTCTTAGGCAAATACAGTAAAGCCACACTATAGCCAACACATTTAGCGTGTGTGTGTGAGTGTGTGTAAGTGGGTGAGTGGGTGAGTGAGCGATGTACGTGTGGTTCTTTACCTGTAAAGGCCGGACAATCGAGCTCATCCGTTTCATCTTGACAGTCCGCATAGCCGTCGCACTTCTTCTCTAAGGGTATGCACTGACCAAAGTCACATTCAAAGTAGTACAGATCGCACTCATTCAAGGGATCATTATCATTGTCTGTGTCTGAGTCACTGTCTATATATTTGTATGTTTGTGTGGGTGTGTGTGAGAGTGAATGTGTGTGTGTGTGTGTGTGTGTGTGTGTGTGTGTGTGTGTGTGTGTGTGTGTGTGTATGTAAGATAAGAGAAATGTTGCGTCAGATATTAGATATATGATAACTCGCTCTGTTCAGTAGTTGCTGCGAACTCATCAAGCTCTAAGCCAATTAGTTATATATGTATCTTTAAGGTTAGTTATACTCTGTTCTTTCGCTGTACCGTAGTTCGTATCGTAATTGATCAGACAGTTGTACTCATCGGCGCTGTCAGCGCAGTCGGTGATGCCATTGCAGCGCTTATAGCCAGAAATGCAGCTTCCGTCCCCGCATTGATATTGAAAGCTCTGGCATTCGACGATCGGGCGGCTCAGATTAAATTTGGCATGAAAGTCTGATGATATATGTTGTGTGATGGTATGACGGTATGACGGAATGATGTGTTGTTGTTGTAGTTTGTTGAAGATTGAGCATAGTTCACAGAGAGCGAGACAGAAGAATAGTGGAAGAGCGAAAGGGAGACGATACTCGCACAGTATGTATATACAAAAATATATATATAGACATACATATTTTTTGTTTTAGGTGTATATATACATATATATTTTAATTTTTCAGATAAAAGCGTAGAGCATAAAAAAAAGAAGAAGAGAAAAGAGTACAGTTAGCGGCATGACAAATGATAATATTTTCGTTTCTTCTATAGGATATTTGGTGGAGACAGGGGAAGCAGGATTTTGGATTCGAGTTTTAAGTGTGATTATAGCACTATGTAAAAGCTATTTAAATATACTCATTTGTAAACAACAAATAAAATACCAAATAACTCATGCTCAGAACTATACCAAAATAAAATATTATTAAATAAATAAATTTATAAATAAATAAAATAATAAACTAAATAACTAATATTAAATAAATAAATAATAAATATTTTTTTTTAAAGAATATTACTGTTAGATGAGGCTATACTAGTGTTTGTTTAGTAATTAATTTTGATGTGGCTGCATCGTGTCACGACACGCGCCCATCTCTAATCAATTTAAACAATGCTTAAGATCTAGATTAGATATGTTGTTAGTCGGATAATTAGTTCATGTTGCAGGCGAGATACAAGCGCCAAAATGTGTGTGTGTGTGGGTGGTTTTTAGGAGGTTTGTGGGTGGTTCATGGATGGGTGTTTCTTTTTATTTTTAATTTTACTTACGGCATGCGCTCTCATCACTACCATCGCGGCACTGAGATTTGCCATCGCAGACTTGAGTCTTGGGTATGCAACCGCCGCCCCTCACACATTTGTACTGGGAATACACATGTTGTTGGTGAGAGTCTCTATGTCTGTGTGTGTGGGTGTGTGTGTGTGGGTGACTGGGTGTATGTGTGCGAGAACTCACCTTGTCAGCGCTGCAATTGCAGAGCGTATAGTCCTCGTCCTCGTGCTCTTGGCAGTCGGGAATGCCATCGCAGACGCTCTCAATCGGAATGCAATCGCGATTGTGACACGCGAATTCAATGTTTTCGAGGCAATTGCTGCCCAATGATGGTGATGACGATGATGATGATGATGATGAGCTGTCTATAAATGGTGTTGGGGTTTTGTTTTTGTGTAAATGTCGGGATGTTCGGTATTGGTGTTTGGCAGGCAACAAGGCATATTTATAATAATACGAGCGAGCACGTATAAAAATAACATAAAAAAAGAGAGATAGAGATTCACAATAAGTGCATGAGAGAGAAAGAGAGCGTTATATATATACATAGAGAGGGAAATGCTGGTAATGTATGTATGTAACGTATGTGCGTGTGTGTGTGTGTGTGGCAATTATAATTAAAAACGATCTAGGACTAATAAATTTAAAAATAACATAACATTAAATGCTAAATTAAACGCTTTACTTTATAACTAGTTGATTGTACGTGTGTGTGCGTGTACGAGTGTGTGTGCTTAGCTTAAGTAAGTTTCAATGTTTCAATTTCAATTGTAGAGTCACAGACATGGCATGCACTTTGATATCAAAGTCGTCTAACCCAAAGAATTTAACCCGAACCTAAGCCCATTTAAACGAGGATAAACAACTGATTACTCGTCACTTAATGAATGTATGAAGCAACTATGTAGTAAGTAACGAGTTTTCCCTAAGCAACTCGCTACTTGTATCGTGACTAGTAACTTATGATTCGTAACTCGTTGCTTGATAATCATAGCTTTTAACTATCAAGTAACGAGTGCTGCATAGCTTGCAACTGATTATCCGTTACTTGTAACTGATTACCTGGAATTTCTAACTCGTCATGTTATAACGTAACTCGTTGATTCTTCCTTATGGCTTATTGTTCACAACTGGTAACTCGTTACTCGCTATTCGTCACTCGTTACTTGATAATTGTAGTTTTCAACTGGCAAGTAACGAGAGTGGCATAACTTGTAATCAAGTACTCTTCACTTGTAACTAGTTATTCGTCATCTCTAACACGTTAGTCTAGTTACTCGTTACTCGTTACTTATAGTTTATTAATCGCAGCTCATTACTCGCCGTAACTAACCACTTGCTACGCACAATTTGTTACTCGTTACTTATTATACGTTACTCATAGTTGTAGCTCGTAGCGCTAGCACGCTTCTCGCTGATTTAAAGCCCACAAAGAATGTACACCAGCCCGCTACTCGTTAATACGAGCTAGTACAGTTAGGGAACCTACTCGATGCAACTCCTCTCGTTGTTATTGGTATTGGGTTAGTGGTGGGACGCGTGGCAGCCGGTGTTACTCTAAATAATGGCGGCGCAGCCGTTGTCAGTCGCTCCAGTGGGGCGGGCCCATATGTTACCCAGGGATAGCGCGTGGGCGCAAGCGTTACGGGTCGCCTGGTGGTTGTTGGAGGCCTATATCGATCGCAATCAGCTTCGTCACTCCGATCGTTGCAGTGGTGGAACCCATCGCAGCGTAAGCGGATCGGAATGCAAACGTTATTCTGGCATTTGAAGTGATCGGCATCGCACGGCTTTTGGGGAGTTGCTTTTGCGTAATGATCCTGCGGATAGTACAGCTCGTACTCTTCCGCATCGAGCTTGTGCAAGCCATCGTTATGTCTATTTCTCTCGTTATCGCGGCCAGGAGCCGGCGGAGGATGGCGATGGTCTCCATATTGGCGTATAATACCATCACGATCGATCACATCGTCATCGATGTTGTTTCCGATATCGTTCGGATCTGTTAGCGGCCGCGTACGTTTACCGGTGTTGAAAGGGCAAGGAAAGGATTTCGGACAGGGTAATGGTAATAGACCGCATGCAAAACCCGGCATATATGGATATAGGATGGGGATATTAGGCAAATGGATTGGACATCGATATTCGAATTTAATGCAAATTTAGATTTAGATTTTGATTTTTGTTGTTATGTTTGGAGCATGCAAATTTCGCAGTGGAGCCAATTGATATTATTGTTGTTGTTGTTGTTGTCGATTTCGATTCGTTGTTCCAGTTGCGGGGAGTTGGGTTGTAGTTGTTGTAACGTGCAATTAATCGATTAGTTTTTGGACATTCGATAACCACAACCAAGTTCGTTCACATATTTGTTTGTATAAAATTGTTTTTTTTTTTTTCGAATTGTTTTCAAGGCGAATTGGAAAAAAAGAGAAATAAAATGTAAATTTGTTAAGAAAAAAATCATAATTTTTGGGCAGTTGACACGCATAAGAGCTAAACACAGAAACGCCAAAGCAATCGATAAATGAATTATCAAAGAAGCGGTAAACACGCAGAAAGACAGAGAGGAATATAGAGAGACGGAGGGAGAGGAAGTAAAGGGCGAGAGTTGAGAGCCGTCACCAAGTAGTTACCAAAACAGTTACCAAAAGTTGTGAACAGAGAACCGCAGTAAGCATTTAAAATATATAAAACTTATGTCAATAACACACACAGAGAGAGGGAGAGAGATAGACAAAGAAACAGATATACAAATATTATAACTATCGATAACAACACAAGACGAAGGACTTACCGCAGTCTTCCTCGTCTGTATAATCGTTACAATCGTAGATGTTATCGCACACCTGACGCATCGGTATGCACTCACCGTTCCTGCAGCGGAACTCATTGTACAGACACTGATCGGCATCGTAGCCACCTGAGTTGTTTGAGTGTATGTGTGTGTGTGTGTTTGTATATGTGATTAATAATGTATTATCGATTGCCGATAGTAGGCTATGAGTGGATTAGTTATGCGTTTCGAATGTGGCGAGTGTCAGGAGGAAGTCAGCGACTGACCAAAGCAACAGTTGACAGTTGACAGCTGTCAGGAGCGGGGAATCGATAAGTGCCAAACAGTGTTGTGCAACGGCAAAAGGAAGAGAAGAGACAATGGAGCGAACCAACTTACCTGCGAGTGTACGAACACACACTCGAGCAGTCCAACAGAGCAATATACACGCATTCACACACACACACACACACTGATAGGCAGGCACACGCACACACACACATGCACACACTCACCATCGCAATAGCGCTCGTCGGATATATCCTCGGGGCAATCGATATTGCCATTGCAGAGCAGCTCCTTGGCAATGCAAGTGCCATCATCGCACTGCCATTTGTCGTACAGACAGGCTGCATGAGCAGTTAACGAAAGAGATAGAGATAGATAAGGGGGGAGGAAGAGAGAGGGAGAGAATATACGCAAAGTATAATATATTAAGCTGAAGAGCGAGAAGAGTGAGAGCGCGTGCGCTATTAGACATACGGCAGCCCTCCTCGTCGGAGCGATCGTGCGGACAATCGGCGCGTCCATCGCAGCGATGCACGATCGAAATGCAGCTGAGATCGCGACAGGTGAATTTGCCCTTGGGGCACGTGTAGCGCAGCCTTGGCACAACTGAGCAGCATGACAAGGAAAGATAGAGAGAGAGAGAGAGTGACGCGGAGAGGGAGTGGGAGAGGGGAGAGTAGTGGAGATTTGTGGATATGCAGAGCAAAAAAGTTAGATTATGAGCAAAATGTATATGATGGATGGAGTGATTGTTAAATTGTTATGTATGCTGATCTGAACACTGAACATATTTCAAAAGCATTTAGCATTTCTTGATTGAGAGGGACAGAGTGTGAAAGATGGGGAGAGAGATATAGAAGACTTCAAAATTCTATGTCAAGAAAATGTTTCAATCAATTATGATTGAGAGAGACCGGCAATGATAAAAGAGGATAGAAATTCTTTGTGTTTGGAATACGTTTCAATCAAATGGGATTAAGAGACGCAGATAGTGGAGGAGTGGGAAAGAGAGTCGATTAGAAGAGGAAGAGAGAGAAAATAAAAAATATATTCACTCATAAAATGATTGAGAGACAGATCGTAAAGACTTGATGCCTTTGGATGTGTCTGAATTAAAATTAATGAAATGATTAAGAGTAAAGGGAATCAATATTACTATATATGCGAAACAAAAATACAGTAGAATCCGGTTATAACGGCTCCGCTTATAGCGTCTGTATGGTTATATCGACGAAAATTCTGGTCCCATTCAAACTTTTATGAGCAAACTTATACGGCTATAGCGCCTTCCGGGTATAACGTCTGTCCCTTGAGTGTTGTTATAACCGGATTCTACTGTATATCATCTAACATGATTGATTGATTGAGATTGAGAAGAAAGAGTGGAAAGCTAAGCTAAGCTGAATGCTGAAATTAGATGTTCAGTGTGATCAGCAAGTTGATTGATTGTCTGATTGATTGAATGCTAGTTTGATCGAATGATTGATTGACTTGTTGATACTCACTTCCATCGCATTGCTCCTCATCGTCGGCATCACTGCAATCGGCGTGGCCATCGCATTGCTGGCTGACGCTGATGCAGCGGGTGCCATCGCGACATTGATACTCCATGCCGCTGCAGGCGGCGGCTGGTTAGCGTTAGTAAACGGTGATCGGATAACGGTAATGATTATTATTGTTATTGTTTGTTGTTGTTTTATTTGTTATGGTTATTTCAGTGTTAGTTGGTGCCCCCATTTGCGAGCGGGCAGGCAGGCGTACAAGAGAGAGCGAGCAAGGAGAGAGAGAGAGAGAGAGAAAGCAAAGAGAGCAAAAATAATTCGGTTAGTGGTTAGTGGTTAATAAGGTTGGTGGTTAATCAAGTTGGCTAATGGGGGACAGTTACCGTAAGCGGACTTTTGCCTACGACCGGCAGGTCGGATATCGGCTTACAGGTAGCGGTTATCGATTACCGATTATCTAATATGTCTTACAGCTAGAAACTTAGTCAAACTTAGTCAACGCATAGACGTATCCAAAATAGTTTTGGGCTTACGTCTACCAATAAATTTACATGTATATAATATATAATATATATATATAAGTGCGTGTATGTGTATGTGTAGTTGTGTGTGTATACGGTTTCAGGTATAAATGGATTTGCATTTGCTCATCTACTTACGGCAGTCATCGCCCTCATCTTCGCCATCGGCACAATCCACGACATAGTTGCAGACTTTGCTGTTATCGATACACTTTCCATTGCGGCATCTGTACTCATTGGCGTTGCACTCTGAAATGGTCAGAATAGATGGTTTCTGGTTTAGATTCATGTTCACATATGTATGCCCTATAAATTATGCTAAAGCTGCCAAGTGAGTAACCGGCAGAATGGGACATCTGGAAGAGCGAAATAGAAACTGTTTCAATCCCCCAACCCAAACACATTTCTAAAAGACCCTCAGCTTTACCACAAGCAAACAGAATTTTTGTTTATTTTTATAAAAATAACAAAGTTTTACTCTTGCTGTTTCCCTCAATATCAAAGCATTGTCAAATTGCAAGGAATTCTTATTTTGATTATAACTTTTGTTACTAATAAATACACTCATAATTATAGGGTATGTGTGAGGCACCAGCACTGTCGACCGAGACAGCTCTTATGGCATTGGCATCTAGTGAGTGCATTTTAGCTACTCTTTATTTAAGTTAGTCTTTTAAGTTGACTTTAGTTTTAAACTGACGAATTCGAAGTTTCTAGTTTGATATATAAAATCTTGCGCAGAAGATAGATATATATACTAGAAGTCAGTTTATATCTTAATGGTCACCTTGCTGATGCCGTGAAAAGTGCCTCGGAGGCTATTTAAGACGATGCCCAAAATGACTTATTCAAAACAATATATATTTATATTAGTTTTATATACACAAATTGTATTTAAATTGTATTAAATATATATTTTTTATTTATTTATTATTATTACTTTTTTTTTTCAATATAAATTAAATGCAGTTTAAGCTTTATGGATATATAATTATAATTATATTCTATATAATTCTTTGGTTTAATTTTCTAATACGTTTTTGACCTTTTCTGTCAAATAATTTGATTTACTTTTATTATATTATTGTATATACATATACTTGAGTATTTACTCTTAAACTATTTACAGTGACTTATTAAAAAATTCTCAAATTCCCTTTTACAGGGTATCTACTGTGACATAACTCTGTTTACTTTCATATTTTTTTCGGAAAATATATCTTTTTGGCCAGCCAATGGTGCAATTAGCCTTCAACCGGATGCAGTTTAACAAGCATTTCCCACTGATTTTTATGCTTGTTGTTGTTGTTGTTGTTGCTACTGTTGCTGTGTCGAATTTGTCAGTTGCCAACTTAAAAGCAAAAGTTTGTTAGGTGTCTGTCTCTGGTTGTCTAGTTGTCTGTGTGTGTGTGCGTGTGTGTGTGTGCGCGCTGTGTGTTGATAAGTTGATAAGCCTGACAACCTACTCGAAATGACACAACAGCCACGCCACACCTCAGGCTCAGCTGCGCTGCTCTGCTCAGCTCGGCTCGGCTCGACTTTGCGACGGCAAGCATCGTTAGCCACAGTTTCCTGTGCATGCTGCTTTTGGCCTTTTTGAACCCTTTTTTTTTTGTATTCAGCTTGACTGTTGCCGTTGCTGTTGGACGCTCAAAATTCCAGTCAACTTAAGCATTTTCACAAATATTTTTCACACTTTTCATTCATCTGTTGGCGTTTCAAAGTATGCACAACACAAAGTGGAAAGCAACGCGGATTTGATTACAAGGAAATGAGAGAGAGTTACACACAGAGACAGCAGAACAGAGAGAGAGGGGAAGATAGCGCTAGTCCGCGGGCGGAGGCGGAAAGACAAAAAAAAAGTAAAATAAAATAAAAAACAAAACAAGGAGAAGCGGAAGAAGAATGGTTGGGGCTTAAGAGCGTGCAGTGGGCTAATTAAAAGCAAAGACAAGAGGCGCGCGCCAGCAACTGGAGGCGTGGCACTTGGCTCAAGTGTAATCAGAGACAGCTTTAAGTTTCCACAGCTGCCGCCGTGAGCTAAATCAGATAAAAAAAATCTCTTACACTCCCTATTAAGCTATATATTATATAATTGCACAGATTATGTGCACAATTAGCGGGGCTTATTCATTTGAAATAGATTCCCAGCTCATTCCCCTGGCTAAAAGTTGTGCTCGCCAAATTGTCATTGCATACTTTCGAGCGCACTGCAAAATCAATTCAACAATCTGCAGAAAATATTTAAAAAATTGAAACACCGTCGATTACATAGATCTTAAATTCAAATCAATTAGACTATATCTGATTATTATTATTATTTTCATTTCCATAGCCAAATGTAAAATCTAGCTTTACGCTGTCAGTCCGTTGGAAGATTGATTATATTATTCCTTTATTCGTTTCTGGGCATATGTCCATAACAGTCTGAAGAAGTCTTGATATATCACTACTTTTGGATAGAAAAGACGAGTATACATAATCTATCCGTCTGTTCACCTGCCTGTCGGTTTGAAAGCCCGACATTTTGTAAGCCACCAAAACTAGAGAGTTGGCTGGATTTAAGCTTGTAATTATTATTATTGCTAAGATGAATGATTAAAAATATAAATAAAAATTCAACATAGGCACTCGTATATAATGATAAAAATATCATACATATATATATTTATATGTATATAGCTGACTCAACTGCTTTCAAGATGTTCAAGCAGAACTTCCCAGCAGCAGCTGCTGTTACCTTCGGCCTAATCTGTTGCTCAAATTTGCAAATTGTTTGATCTTAAGATGTATGTATGTATATGTAGACATATATATTTATAATTGTTGTTTGTCTGTGCAGCTGCCTTTTCTTTATTTTGCTGCTGATTGCCTTGGCGCATTCAATTAATGCAAATGCTCAACTTTAGGTGAGGCAGTTGGCTTAGGCCTTTGGGGCCTTTGTTTTGAGGGTTCATTGGGGCCATTGGCCGCCATAAATCAACAATTGTTGTCGTCACCGTCGTCGGGGTTAACTGCAGCGCCAACTTTAACTACTTTCTGGGCGCTCACAAATCGTCAAAGTTTCTTATATATTTTCTTTTTTTTTCTGTGTTCATCGCTTCGCTTGCAATTTGCAACACGAAGCTGCCAAAAAGCGTTTTCTTATTATTATTTTCCGTTTGTTTCTCCTTTTTGCATTCGAAGTTTGTCTGTGGCGCAAAGGGGCACGCCCCTGCGCCTACCCGGCCCCACATGCCACGCCCCGACGCCCAGCGCCCAGCAATGCAGTTTGACAATTTCGTTTGCCGCACCTCAAAGTAGGCAACACAAACCAAACAAATGACAGCCGAAAGAGAGAGAGAGAAAGGTGGAAAATGGCAGCATGAAAAGCTGCAGACAGACAGAAGCAACAAAGGTTTTGTTTATTGACATTAAAGATTCAATAATGCCCAACATATGGCAGCTGCCGGATTTGGCTGCCAAACTCATCAGACGAGCAATTTGAGAAAAAAGGAGCAAATGTGAAGATGGAATTCGCTTAGACGTTACCCTACACAGTCAGAGAGAAATGAAGTATATATATTCCCTAGAGAATTCAATAGCCTACGAAAATATTATCAGATGTAAACTCAATGACCTAAAGAGGTCTCTAAAGGGAGAGAGAGAGAGAGAGAGAAATATACATAAGTCTATAAAACATCGATAGAGCATGGATAGAGACAAATATCTATATAAGAAGTTATATAATTAGATGAATGCGAGTTGAAACAGTCTTTAATGTATATACATATATAAACAAGCCTGCTATTCCGCTAAATGGATAATCTATATAAGCATCAGTCTTATATGGACTGTTTGACCTCCAAGAAAAATGCAGGGTATATAACAAAAGGGCTTCCAATTATGAGCGCAGCACAAGACAATGGGTCGGAGTGGACAGGCTGACAGACAAGCAGAGAAACAGACGAAGATGCTGGGACAGACAGGTGGTAAGCCATTTGCCGGCTCGTTTGATGCTCAGGACATAGGTAAACAAATTACGTGCAGCATTTATAATCCGCCAAAAATCCCAAAAATAAAGATAAAGGTGTGTAGGCCACCGAAGGTTGGTCAGTGCTGCTCTGGGGGGAGGGGCATCCGCCACAGGCAGTGGGGCTCTGCCCCGGGCAGCGAAACACCTGGGCAGCGCTTGAGCGGCGTCACAGGGTATACATCGAACGGGGTGCTCCCGCCTTAACTGGAAAATGCAGCAACAGGCAAACAGCAATTGGCAGCAGCTGCAATCAAATCGCAGCTGCAGCAGCTTTTGCTCTCTCCTGTTTATACTCATTCACGAAAGTGAATCAGTATATTGGTTTTGTGCAATGTCCGCCTTGCTGTCCGTCCGTCTGTCCGTCTGTCCGTCCGTCCGTCTGTCCGTCTGTCCGTATGAACGCAATCTATTTCGGCGCTATTGAAGCTAGAGACTTGAAATTTGGAGCACATACTCGTGTATATCTCCGATTTATAAAGTGTTCAAATTTTCCCGATCCGCCCACTAGGGGCGTGGCAAATCGGAAAATGCATTTTCCGATATACCAGAAATCATGTTAGTTAAAGAGCTAGAAAGCTGAAATTTGGTATGTAGGTCCGCGTCGACAACCCAAGATCACAAGCTATGGCGGATATATCTCCGCCCATTGGGGGCGTGGCAAATCGGATAAAACTGTATCTCCTAAAGTTGTAAACCTAGAATGCTGAAATTTTGCATGTCAGCTAATGTTATGATTCTATAAAGTCTAAAAATAAAATTATAAGTCTACACCCATTAGGGGCGTGGCAAATCGGACCTGAAGATATAGTGATTTTTCAAATTCTGCTATTTTTTGGACACTATTGATGCCAGAGATCTCAAATTTTGTATATATACTCGGGCTGATCACCCAAGACCAAAAAGCTTTGTCGGATATATGTCCGCCCACAGGGGGCGTGGCAAACCGCAAAAATGTATATCTCCTAAAGTATAATAGCTAGAAGCTTCAAATTTAGATAGTTGAGTTACTGGTAGCCTCCTCTATCGATTCCTCAAAAAATAATTTTTACGCCTTTTTAGGGGCGTGGCATATCGAAAATTACCCTGTAATTTTCACTTTTTTTGAGAGTAAGCATTCAAACTTTGCAGTTAGGGTACTGTTATCTCGTTCTAGAAACTGACCAAAAATTAGATGTTTACGCCCAGTAGGGGCGTGGCAAATCGGAAAAGCCTGTATATTCTACAGTATTAGAGC